ATTTTGTCACATTTTCACCCAAAAAGTAAGGCTAACCCCTTGCAAATTTATTTTGTCTCATTTTCACCCAAAAAGTAAGGCTAAGCCCTTGCAAATTTATTTTGTCTCATTTTCACCCAAAAAGTAAGGCTAACCCCTTGCAAAATTATTTTGTCACATTTTCACCCAAAAAGTAAGGCTAACCCCTTGCAAATTTATTTTGTCTCATTTTCACCCAAAAAATAAGGCTAACCATTTGCAAATTTATTTTGTCTCTTTTTCACCGAAAAAGTAAGGCTAACCCCTTGCAAATTTATTTTGTCTCATTTTCACCCAAAAAGTAAGGCTAACCCCTTGCACATTTATTTTGTCTCATTTCACCCAAAAAGTAAGGCTAACCCCTTGCAAATTTTTTTTGTCACATTTTCACCCAAAAAAGTAAGGCTAACCCCTTGCAAATTTATTTTGTCACATTTTCACACAAAAAGTAAGGTAAACCCCTTGCAAATTTAATTTTGTCTCATTTTCACCCCAAAAGTAAGGCTAACCCCTTGCAAAATTATTTTGTCTCATTTTCACCCAAAAAGTAAGGCTAACCCCTTGCAAATTTATTTTGTCTCATTTTCACCCAAAAAGTAAGGCTTACCCCTTGCAAAATTATTTTGTCTCATTTTCACCCAAAAAAGTAAGGCTAACCCCTTGCAAATTTATTTTGTCTCATTTTCACCCAAAAAGTAAGGCTTAGCCCTTGCAAATTTATTTTGTCTCATTTTCACCCAAAAAGTAAGGCTAACCCCTAGCAAATTTATTTTGTCTCATTTTCACCCAAAAAAGTAAGGCTAACCCCTTGCAAATTTATTTTGTCACATTTTCACCCAAAAAGTAAGGCTAACCCCTTGCAAATTTATTTTGTCACATTTTCACCCAAAAAGTAAGGCTAACCCCTTGCAAATTTATTTTGTCTCATTTTCACCCAAAAAAAGTAAGGCTAACCCCTTGCAAATTTATTTTGTCACATTTTCACCCAAAAAGTAAGGCTAACCCCTTGCAAATTTATTTTGTCACATTTTCACCCAAAAAGTAAGGCTAACCCCTTCCAAATATTTTTTGTCACATTTTCACCCAAAAAGTAAGGCTAACCCCTTGCAAATTTATTTTGTCACATTTTCACACAAAAAGTAAGGTTAACCCCTTGCAAATTTATTTTGTCTCATTTTCACCCAAAAAGTAAGGCTAACCCCTTGCAAAATTAGTTTCTCATTTTCACCCAAAAAGTAAGGCTAACCCCTTGCAAATTTATTTTGTCACATTTTCACACAAAAAGTAAGGCTAACCCCTTGCAAATTTATTTTGTCTCATTTTCACCCAAAAAATAAATTTGCAAGGGGTTAGCCTTACTTTTTGGGTGAATATGTGACAAAATAAATTTGCAAGGGGTTAGCCTTACTTTTTGGGTGAAAATGTGACAAAATAAATTTGCAAGGGGTTTGCCTTTCTTTTTGGCTGAAAATGAGACAAAATAAACTTGAAAAGGGGTTAGCCTTACTTTTTGGGTGAAAATGTGACAAAATAAATTTGCAAGGGGTTAGCCTTACTTTTTGGGTGAAATTTACGATGGTCGGCCAACCATCACTTTAAAAAATTCCATTTTTCTTGAAAATGACAGTACACCAGGTGCCATGATTTCACAGGATGCTTGAGACTATTATTCACTTCAAGTGCATTATTTCATAAATAATTTGGTAGTTTTGTTTTTGGATGTTTGAGAATGTTGTGTAGTACCTTTAACTTGAATACATATTCGTGTTCTTTGTGAATTCTAATGAATCTTCTAATGCGATATTCATGGTTGGTTTATGGATGGCAAACTGTTTGCATTATTTATGTTCCAAGCCTAACAGGTAGACTGCATACATTGAAATACTAGTATGTATAAATCTGCCACTGTATTTCCTCACGGCTAACGGGGGTAAATCAGTAGGTTCACTTCACATATAACTCAGAGGAGAGGGTTGCATGATCTAAATCTAACAATTTTAAATCTCTTGTTCAAAATCAATTAAAATCACTGATACAAATTGAATTCGAACAACAATTTAAACTCATGTTAACATAAACTCAAAAAAATGGTGTGTATATATCAAATTGTTCATCAAAACCAATTCTTAAAAAAAAAACTATTCAATTTAAACAATTTCAGATGCCCTTGATTTAAATAATGCAAATGCATTAATCAAATTACGTACTTGGTAAAATATTGATTAAAATAAATTTTTAAAACAACTCATCAAACAAGAGACAATACATGATTTACCGTATATCAACTTTCCTCAGCGGCCAGAATGCCCTACTCAACTTTAAGCAAAATATTATATTTCGTTAAATCACCAATAAAGTTAAACATGGGAGGTCAACTCCAAATGAACTTTTAAAGATGCCCCCCCCCAAAAAAAAACAACCTAAGGCCAAAAAAAAAAGTCTCCGGTTTCTGGTATGGAGCTTGCCCAAAAGGTGGTGCGGCGACGCGGTTTTTTTTTTTTACCTGATTTTTTTGCTTCAAATGTCGGCTGATGACTGCAAATGGTGCCCGACTAAACTTAGTGCAAATATATGGGAGTCCAGAGAGGCCACATAAAGCTTATTCTCGACCATAACCCAATCTAAAAACACGTTAAAATTGTGCAGCAGCAGGATTCCAGTCAAACCAGAGAGTTTGGCGGTTTTGAGACATCATCTTTCATTTTGCCGACGCGCATGGCTACGGCGATGCGCGCGCATACCAGAAACCATAGACTTTTTTTTTTTGGCCTGAAAAAAAATCACCAACACTTTGTAACATACCTACATTGTACAGAAAAGCACTTGATAAAACATTACACAGTTACACATCATGCTCGACCGCCTTAAGACACAAACTGCAAAGGACAAGACAACTATAGCACCAAGGTGTTGGAATGCCCGGCAAAGGAATTTTGAAGAAAAAATCTTAATTTTTTTTTTGTAAATTGAGTTCTCAGTGTCAGATCAATAAAACTACCCTGTAGTTAAAAGAAAATTGTCAAAGACACTGCGACGAACCTCTCATTCGACTTGGTAAGGGCAATTTCACGGAGTGCGGAACACAAATTTGTTTAGCACTGAAGCATTTTGTTCAGTAGAAACAGGTTATGATCTCATACTGTCATGGGCTGTGGTCCATTGTGGGCACACCAACATGTTTACATTCCTAGCTAGGCCCATACTAATAATAAACTCCAAAAAGAATGATTATCTTCGAAAACATGTCAAAATAGCGGCTCGTACCAATGTGCTACACCCAAATGGAATATTTTCAGAAACAAAACTGTTGTTAAAAAAACAGCGCCCTCTATGCCGCTCCTACAAATATCACCGAAAGGATAATAGCTTTTTACATCCTCAGAGAGTTAGCTGTGACATGAAGTGAAATTCTGTCAGCAACAAGTGAACTTTACTCATATTTTGGATGTACGAAATGGAAAATTTCAGCCCCAACAAAATCAATTCGTTCATTGTGTGCATCGTGCCATTTTTGGAAAACACAGCTAACGACACAGGAAGACTGTATACCTTTGTTGCTGACGTTCGCTAACATTGGTGGCAAAATAGTGCAAGGAGAAATGTCTTGCTTACCAGCACCAAGAAACTGAGCCTGAGCCATAATTTGGGCGAATTCACAATGCAGTGCGCCACCAAGAGTTTGCCACGGAGAGTTCATTTTTCCCAGTGCATTGTGGGAGATGGTCGACAAATTCGCAGCACGGGACAATTGAAATTGTTAGTTTTTCCGGTCAGTGGTTTTGCAATCGTATGATTCGAGGATCTGTTTGCCCATTTCCTTTCTTGTTATCAATATGGCCTTTCTGTAAGGCGGCAGAACGCTATGCCCCAATCTATGACATATAAGCTCAAGTTGTCTACCGACACTCATTCAAATGGGCCATGTTTTGTCGACTGTGAACTTGAAAAATGGACTCTCCGTGGCAAACTCTTGGTGCCACACTGCATTGTGAATTGCCCGAAAAGTTTATAAATAAACAAATCACAAAAATACTTCTCATCCCTTGACCAGGAATGTCTTACCCGTCGGATGAAAATAATGGCCAAAGATGCAATATAAACATGTTACACAACTCGCATCCCGCATCTGGGAGACTCTCAAATGTATGTGAAATTAAAGCACGTCTAAAATATACAGTACTGAAAAGGTTATCACTATTTATGTTACGCTTCCAGATCAAAAATAAATCAGCGTATTGTATGCTTTGGTTTTTAATGTTGTCCTCATCCGGGCAATTTAACAACTTTCCCTGGTTCTCACACAATCAAGAGCGTGGAAACTCACAGTTGTCAACCAGTCAACAGAGCATGGCGCGCGGTATCGTCGCACGCAGACGCAGCGCGCAACAGGGTATACGCGCACTATTGTCAACAACCGCAATGGCAGCTTTGAGCGGCGCAAAATTGCTTCGGTAAGCGAAAAATATTAGACGAAATTTGAGAAATAAAGACAGTGTCCTGAAATGTACTTCTTTTTGCGGATCAAGTCAGCCTGAAATAAATAATAATATTGGATGGCTTTTTTTCCCGGGTGATACAAGAATATATTGCACTCGCTGTAACAATATATTCTTGTATTCCCCTCAAAACCATTCAATATTATATTTAATCTGTAAAGTTAAAGATGTGATGGTTTGCTTGAAACGAAACTGACGTGACCGCGATTAGAAGCCATTCATGACTTGGTGCCACAACTCATGCACAGGTCTAGTCTTTTTCCAAGACTGGACTTGGTTATTGTTCCTCTAATGCAGCTATCCCCTAACAAGAGTGGTCAAGGTAGACGGTGCTATCAACATGAATCAAATCCAGTCTTCTGAACTTTGGCATTTAGACGCAAGAACTTGTGAGCATACATCAAGTGCGCTATACTCAAGCTTATGCGGTACCGTGAAGTAGGCTAATGCCAAAGTTCCCATTTTGTTGATAGCGCCTGTTATCATTGTGGTGGCTTGACGGCCCTTCTCAGGGGCCAATGCATGAGTTGAAACCAAAATAAAAATTTCAGTCTAGGTTCAAGACCAGCACAGGTCGCATGTGTGCATTTTATGCTCTTTTGACCAACTGGGTTGCAAAAATGCGTGCATTAAATTCGCGAGATGACCAAAAAGAGGTAATACCTCTGTAATGTCTTTCAAATGCCGCTGCAGAATTGGGCTACAGTGTTTACCCTGGTGTGCCTTTGGACTGACACAGGTAGTACGGTCGGGATGACATCTGCTAGCTAGAGCTGGGCTGGGCTGGTGGGTCTCCAACCCCATCGGCAAGGTGGTAAACTTTGGTGGCAACTTCGTAGGCAAGGGAGTCAGCAGCAACCTGAAGCCAATAAATATATTAAATCAAACAACAAAAAACAACACGAGGAAATTAATTTCCAAACATACCAAAAGTGATGACTCCTGTTCATTTTAAGAGGGTCCTGCCAGTCACAATATCGATACCATCAGGCTATCTGCTTCAATTCAGTCATAAATGTGACATGCACACGGGAATATTGTAAAGTTATAATCTTTAGCACTGTCAGATTTTCTTTTCTTCTTTTTTTTTTAGTTTTCAAAACTGCTACAGCAGAACACCAATCTGGCCTGTGTTGAATGATAAACCTTTTGCAAGCAGCTGCACCTAAAGCAAACATTTAAGGAGCAGCACAGAAGAAAAAGCAATTATTTTTTTTCACTGTGGGCTCCACAAAGATTAGAAATACACTCCCAGCAGTGAAGAAGTTGACAAGAACTACAAAGGGATAAGGGCACTCAATCAACATTTGTGTTGTATTGCAATATTTCTACTTTTTCTACTTCTTCCTAGTTTTTTTTTTCCCTAGTTTTTTTTTTTGACCTTGCTCCTACTTTTCCTACTATTTTCTTAAAATCCCCACTTTTTTTCTACTTTTTCCAACTATTTTGTCCCACAACTCTGAAAAATGAAATCTCACTGACTATTTTTTGCTGTCAACTGTAAACCACACAATGAAGGGCTTGGGCGCAGGAGTACTGCAACTGTACTTCCCAGAGCTTAGTTGAGGATGGAGCACAAGTGTTGTGAGTACAGAACATGCCAAATGAGGCTTATGATGCTGTGGACGTGGGTGAGTATCAACGAAAACTTCTACTGAAAGCCCACAAAAGTCCTACATTTAACCTGATTTTATCCTAAAAAGTCCTATTTAAGTCCTGTTTGTTTTTTTGTCGAAAATTTTGATCCTACTGTTATCCTACATTTTCACCTGGGTCTGCTTGAAAGCCTCGTGATTGTAACAAGAATTGGTTTTGGGTTTGGGCACATCGAGTTGAAAATTGTTCTTGTGTGCACTGCATGCCCATTGCGCCATTATTGTAACTGTGGTCGCAGAGATATGGCTTAATTTGGCTCTCATGGCCGTTCTGAACACCCCTCTATGGTTCACATGCAGAACACACAGTCATGCTTCGTTCTCACCTGGGTATCGGCCTCGGCGTAGATTCTGACGATATCCTCTGTTCCGGAGGGTCTGTTTGATTACAACAAAATCAGAGAGAGAGATAGAGTTCACATCTGCAATATAATTCCTTCCCGTGATCTGAGACGTTTCGCATCCGAATGATACATGTATGTGTACAAATTTGTTTAGCTGTCTGTAACTGTTATATACACCATTCCATAGTTTTGCATCATGTACGCATACGCGTATGCTTAGTTATCGGAACCATTACCAATAAAAAGCAGTCATCCAAAAAGGCGGCCTCCGATGAAAGCCTCATATCTGCGGCTAATCCTTTGAAACGCAGACAAATGGCACATTATAAGTTCAGCAATTCATCCTCTTTGAATCAAACCGTTTATTAAATAACTTATCAGAAAAGAGGGCCACAATCGAAAAATTTACTATGCGTTTCACACCGACGCTTTGCGTGTGATGTCTCCATGCCATGCACAGGCATAGTTGGATAACGCGTTGCGTATGACGTCACAAGACCACACAAACTGATGACCTATCCGATGCATAAACCATATGTGACCTGTTCTGTCAAAAGCCGACGCTTCTGGGCAGAGGTTGAAATTGAGATAGGGCCAAAAAACGCCGTGTGGGTGATCTTTTTCGATTTTCTAATTTTTGCATATTTGTAATCCTGAACATGTCTAAAATATACTATAAAAGTTTGAAACCCTAATTTGAACTCTAAATATAGTATTTTTGACGATTTGTTAAGGTATATCAGTTAAAGAAATTACTATTTTGTGACATTCGTGGCCATTTTCTCCGTTTTCTACTTTTCGACACAATGAACTTCAAAATAGCATAACTCTGCCAAGGAATGACCGGTTTCAAAAATTAAATCACCTATTAAAAGGAAAAAGCACATATTTTTCACAATATGCAAAAATCTCATTTTTGACCTTATGCCCAGAAAAGTCTGATTTTGACAGAACAGTTTTGGAAACCTCTGGAAACCACATAATACATTTTGGGAGTTGCTCACCCACCATGCTATGGACTCCTTAAACAAGTACACCCCAACAGTGACCAAGAGATTCCTATGCCAACTCCTTCAACACCACATTTTACAACAGAACGAGAACATAATTGTTTTTGCCCAACATTCCTGAATCCTCCAAGTTTCATATCATTTTTCACAAACCCAAGGGACTTAGGGTTGTTTATGCACTGGTGAACTCAATGCCTGCACTAGATTTCAAAGACACTTACAAAAAAAACCCCAAACAAACCCCAAAACGTGACGCTAAATAAATAAGACTTTACAATTGCTTTCCACATAAAAGCGAGACCATACATTTCATAACATCTTTACAAACTATACAAACTGTATCTCATTCGTTTTTCACAAAATAACAAATTCATCCCTGAATTCACGAGTATCAGGGTAAAAATTGACTCCTATCAACAAATAATGAAGTTATTCTGAAGTTTTTTTATTTTATTACCTGACAAATGATCGAGCATTGTTGTACTTGCTGACGATACCGTCAATGGCTTCTTGAAGGCCTGCTGGGGTTGTTGCACATCGCTCGGCATTGGTAGTCTGGATCACCCGACGATCCTTCACCTAAAACAGGGGGAAAAAAAAGTTACATCAGCAAAAGACTTGGACTCGGACTCGACAATCATGATTCGGACTTGACGCTAATGACTTGTGACTCGTGAGCCATATTTTTTTTTTCATCAAAAATTAAATTTAAAACACAATTCCATGTTTATTTTCCGAAAGTTACGTTAAAGCAACGCTTAAGAAAGCAACGCTTACGAACTTTCGGACTCAAATGAAAAGACTCGCGACTTGGACTCGGACTCGAACCAGATGACTCGGACTCAAACTCGACTCATGGGATTCAACTTCAACACTGGGAGAAGACGGTTCATAATGCAGGCATGCAACTGGGAATTTAGAAAAAACGAGGAAACTCCAAACCATACAAGACTTTGTACAGTATTTTTCACTTTGTAATGGCATTCATGAGAAGTAAAAAACGAGGAAATCAGCAGATCCGAGGAAAAGTTGCATGCCTGATAATGGCAAAAGTTCTCCGTTGCCAACTTCTTATTATTGTCGTCAAGCCCACCACAAGCCCACAAGTCTGGTCACAAAGTAAATCAGTATTACTGATTTACTTTGTGACCAGACTTGTGGTGGGCTTGACAACACCAATGTCCTTTCACATGTCCAATCTCAAGTAATAGGGGATAACCAATCACAAATGAATGCATTTGCTACTGTTCATTTGAATATAGCTTGCGACTTGACCTAGGACCAGATGATTGTTGAGCCCTTCTGTTGGACCCGACTACGACACTGCGTCTTACCTTGACTTTGAGTTGTCTGTTTGGCAGGTCAGTGTACGCTGCGTTCCAGTCAGTCATTGTCCAGCCCTTGGCATGTAGGATACACTCCACAACCAGCATGTCGGATATAGCGTCACCGACAGTCTGAAAAAAAAAAAATACCATTCCAAAGTTTTCACTACTATTACCAATACAACATGTACCATCACAATACGGCTACATGCACTGTTAGGGTATGCTATTGCAAACTAGGTCATGGTGGCCAGTGGCTACCTGTTCATCAAGGCCACTTTTCTCCATTCCCCTACATGGCCACTAAAGGGCAACGCGGGATGACGTCAGCCATCAAACATCTATTCATTAGCATGTGCGTTTTTACCGGTTGCTATGTGTTGCCATCCAGCACACCATACTCAGAGAACCTTCCAGTGTAATGAACTAAAGTTCCTGAATGTCTGGGCCAACCTATATACATATTTCATATTTCACTACATTTGTCTTGGTTCTTGGTTGGTTCACTCCTAAATACTCCGTGTGGGAGTTTATACAGGAGGCCAGAAACACCGGGGCAAACCCCTTCTCTTAGAGATAAGTGTCACTGGGTTCTTTTACGTGCATTGGATTACACAACACACGGGACCTACGGCTTAACGTCCCATCCGAAGGACGAAGCAATAATGGTTAACTGCCTTGCTCAAGGGCACAAGTGTCCACCCGGCGGGTTCGAACCCACACCACTGTTGCCTCTGAAACACCAGGGCATGAGTACGGGGTTCTTAACCGCTAGGCCATGACACTCCTTGTCTTGTGTGCACTTTTGGGCAAGTTCTGGCGAGGACCATTAGTCCACTAGTGGTCGACTCATGACGTATTGTACGCCTGCGCGCTAACAGCAACGTGTGAACGCTTCTAGTCTAACATTGGTCAAAACGTCATCATGAAACAACTTGGTCCTGGCTCCCCGTTGCGCTTTGTGATCCACGCGGCTATTGGTTACCAGTGATGGAACCGGGCCCATGCTCCGGTTCCAAATAGTCGACTAGAGTAGCCCAACCATCCTTCAAGTTTGTCAAACCATGGTTAGGCCACAAAAAAAAAGTGCGGTTTCTGGTATGGAGCTTGCCCCAAAAGTTGTGCAGCGACGCGGCATTTTTTTTCTTTTTACTTTTATTTCCTTCAAATGTCGGCTGATGACTGCAAATGGTGCCCGACTAAATCTAGTGCAAAATGTATGGGAGCCCAGAGAGGCCACACAAAGCTTATACTCGATCGTAACCCAATCTAAAAACACGTTCAAATTGTGCAGCAGCAGGATTCCAGTCAAACCAGTGAGTTTGGCGGTTTGAGTACATTGAAAAAAAAAAACTTTTTAATTTTGCCGACGCGCATGGCTACGGCGACGCGCACGCAGGCCAGAAACCAGAACCTTTTTTTTTGGCCTTAACTGTAGTTTACGCCTGAACTTGTTTTAAGTTGATACCTACCTTAAAGTTATTCAAATCTTAACTCCCTCCCAAAAAACTTTAGAAATTTGTCTCTTTATAAAATAATGATCTCCTATTTTGTGATTGGTAGGCACCCTAATTGATTACCTCGTTGATGAGATCTTGAAGATACTTCAGTGTGGTTGCCGCTTGCCTCTGATCGGATGATAGCCTTCACAAAAACAAAAAACTCGCAATCTTAGATCCATCAATAATCAAACGCAAGAATAATTTTTTACCAGAAAATGTATGTACATTGTACATGTAATCAAGTCTGCAGAAGAGTGTTCATTCAAAGTTAAGACACAAAATCAAAGAATCATGAACAATTCAAATCAAGTCTATAAACAAAGAAACTATGTAATGTACGTAAATAGTATTTTCTAGCTATTGTATAATTCTTTTGGGAAACAGAATATGAAATAATAATATACAAATAATGAAAATTATGAAATGCGATGGTAAGAATAATTTCATGATGTGACAGTCAAACACTAAAATGCTGAGAAAAAAGGCCTTTACAGTTTGGACTGTCGTGTCGTCGCGAATACAAAAGATGCAAATTGTTTTCCTTTAAAAACATTTTTTTCCCATTTTTTCTTTAAAATGTGTATTAGTCATATCAAAAGATAACAAATTTCAATAAATCTGAAAAATCAGAAAAAAATCACCCCTTTTTGGTATGTTGCATTTTTCTCCACTATGGCCTCATCCCAGTACCATCTCATTTCGCCAGAACGCCTCACATTTGTCATATGATCGGTAAATAGTGTCACCGTGCAATGGATCTTCTATTTACCGTGGAATAAAACTTAGCCAGGCCGCAAATTTTTTTTTCCCGAACGACATTCGCATACATGGCTGTTTAGCGCCCTCTACGATGCTTTTATGATACGCATGCAGGTATATAATTATTTGTTTCCCCACATTTTGGTGAGCAGTGCGACAGCTCAGTCGATAATGGGTCGGATTTTGCACCGCGAGGTTGCGGGTTCGAATCTCGGTTTTGCACCCGAATTTTTTACTTTTCTAACCTGAGGCTTCTGAGGTTTTTTTTTTAAAGAGAAATAAAGTCCAAATTTCATAATGTTCAAATTCACTTTTTTCTAATTTTATATTTTCTTCTCATGTTTTTATAAAAGTTAAGTCCAAAATACCATAGTGTACACCCATATGTGGATGTCGTTTGGGAGAAAAAAATTCGCAGCCGGGCCATGGGTTGTGCCTAATTTGTTAACGATAAACATCTAAATTTGCAATGTAATACACTGGCCATACACTGTACGACAACCACTCCAGAATTGAGAATGTCGCACTATAAACAGAAATTCTTTATATTTCCACTTGCCTTTCATCCTGGCTGGCTGAGTTGATTTTCTCGGTTGCTAAGGCACTGAATAATACCTGCAAGTTCATTGGTTGAATAGTATAAATAAATATGAGACTTTCCCCAGCAAATCTGGAGTTGCAAAACTTCAGCTGTGCTATCTTAATTTCAAGGAATGACCGAGATAAGAGCCATGTTATTATTTCAAGTGTTGGTGTCTGTTGATTGTAGATCTTAGACATCATTCAGAACGCGGTGATTTTACAGAATTTAGTTTAAATAACTACATGTTGAGAAAACAATATAACTGCAAAAGAATCCCGTTTACTCAATTTAGAGCAATTAATTTCTTTCAAACACTTTGTAAGTTGCCAACGGGAGACAAATCTAGGATTTTGAACGCTGATTTTATCCACTGTGGTTATGCATGAAAATCACATTGTGGGCATGTACTTTCAGGGATGCCAACTTTAGAGACTACAAAATAGTAATGATTCTTCCTGCAAAGAGTAATGCTAATGTAAATACATAGGACAACAGTCAAGTTTAAGAGTAACCACAGTACTTTTCAGAGTAGCCACAATGTTGGCGCATAGGACAGCTGGAATTTTCAAGAGTAGTAACATGCCTCAAAATTACCCCGTAAAACATGTTAATTTGTCTTCCTATGATGCCTGGTTCAAAACTTATGTCAACAACCCATTTTCCTCAAAATCCAAGATGGCCGCCAAGATGGCCGCCAAATGAACCCCATGGGACAATATTTGATCTTGGGAACATCAAAATTTGTTCACTAGACACCTTGAGGATTACGAAAAAATAGGTTACAAAAATATATCCAGGGGGTGCATGGGAATCCTATCTTCCTACTAGACTAATTACTCCATAAGAGTAATGGTTGGCATCTCTGTACTTTTGATTTCAAAGTGCTTTGAGTTTTGAAGCATACCGTTCCATGTCCGTTGGCTTCAAAGTAGACGCCCACATCAAAATCCTGCGCCCTGTGGTGCAGATGCTTGACTCCGGTACAGGCACAAGCTACAGGCACTTTCTGCATGTAAAAAAGTCATCTTTGCAGTGAAACTCATTCAATATTACAAGGTTCACAGCACTTCATGAAAATATAATTCCCTGAGTTTTTTCCTGATATTTCACTGAGAAATTTCAAAATTTCGTCCTCGTCCCCAGTGCTTACTTCATTTCCAACCGCGTTTCCAATAGTAAACCCTGGATAGGAAACTTTCTTCCTGTATCCTGATTCGATGCTTCAATCGGCTAGTAATGGATTTATACTGTATACTTGGTGTTGTTATTTTCAACGTGCAGTACGTGTTTTCGCGATCATTGTAATTAAACCCATCCATGCCTTCTCAAAAATACTCTTTCCTTTCCAATTTGCTCAAATTAATATGAAATGTGATACTGCATAACTGGCGGGATAAGATTGTTACATTTTAACTTCGAAAACAATCGTGTTTTCGTAACTCGAGACGCGCATCAGTTGTGTTTTTACCCCAGACACCGCATACAAAAACAAATGCTAATGTAACGCACAGGCAGGCACCAGACTATTCCTCATTTGCATACGTGTTAAAAAATCTTGCACATGCAAATGATCCAATACCAGGGTGAGAGAGCAGGTAGTGGTGGGTACGTACTGCTCGACACCCTGGGGACGAGGTTGTTGCAGACGAGGCTCTATGCAATAGGTCCAAACTGACTGGACTGTTTTGATGGGCAAAATTCATTTCCGAAAATGATGTGCTGTGGCATGTGGAAGTATCCCTCTCGCAGTATTTTTCAAGGGTTAACTTTTTCACTGATTCACCACAGATGTTTCCAAGGACAAACCTAGTTACTTACAAGGACATCAGTGGCATACTGTGTGGAGCTTCCGTTGGCATAGGCCGTCTGCACTAGGCCCATGTTGAGCTGAAGATTAGCTGCAGTCAACAGCTCTTGAATGTACCCTGCTATCTGTAATACGCACAGAGAAAATAATACACTGTATTATATACACAAGTATCCCCCCCCCCATCCAACGTTAAGAAAGGGAGAGTTGGGGGCGATTACTAGGAGAGACATTTGAACGCATAGCTGGCGACACCTGATGCTCACGTGGAGAAGCTATGGCCAATGTTGTAGTAGAGTACTTTTTTCCCCCCGAGTACCAAGTACGGCCGAGTACTTAGGTTGCCGAGTACGAGTACGAGTACTTGTACCTTCAAGTACAAGAACAGGTCTCCGAGTACGAGTACTTACACTTCCGAGTACGAGTACGAGTATTTCAAATACGGCCATACGGCAAATGGTGCATTGTGCGTAATTGGCCCAGGCCCAGTCAGACCAATGTACAGACCCACTCACGGCTAGCTGTTAAATGTGTTTGTCCGGACGTGCACAGAGGAAAATCAGAAAACTTCAATTTCTCCACAGGCCAATCAACCATTTCAAACTGAAAGTTTCGATAAAATAAGGCCATGGTGCATAAAGTCAAGCTAAATAATTTTCCCCCGAGTACCGCTATTCAAGTATGAGTACTTTGATGATCAAGCACAATTTCGACATGTCGAGTACGAGTACTTTGCTACCCGAGTACGAGTACCGGCATTTCGAGTACGAGTACTTTGACATTCGTGTACGAGTACGAGTACTCCAAAAAATTCTCGAGTAGTACTGAAGTACGAGTACTGAGTACGAGTACTACAACACTGGCTATGGATTTGTGCACATTCAGCATAAAATAATGTGTACATGTCAGTATGCACAAGTTGTGTGTCCCGTCCACAGGGCTCTCAAAGCAGAATGTAAGCGCCCTCTATTGTTCGGGCACGAAGCTCATACGAAAAGTTGTAGCTGGAGCAAATCCAAGAGATTCCACTTTGAATGCGTCAGGATCGAGAAAAGCTTCCATTTTGGGCACACATGCTGCTTTACCTGCATTGCATTGTAGGCCCGCAATAAATGCATTACAAGCAGTTCCAGGGCGATTACACATGCGAGATTTCAAAAGACTGCCTGTTCCATCAAAATCCATCCCCCAATTTAGGGGATTTTGGCAGATAAGCCATGTGAACCAAGTCCATCAAATCCACCAGCACCAGTGGTGAATTCAACGAATTTGGTCCTGAAGCATTCTGTGAAGTAGAGTGATTGTTGGATTCTGACAGACATGGTCGTCTACTTAAAAAAAAGTAAGTAGGGAGTTGGGGTTAAGTTTGCCAAATTTGATTTTGGGTCAACCTGAGTTGCTCCAAATTCTTTTTTAGTTCAGCAAGACTCTGGACCATCAGTCTAAAAATGGGTGTTAGAGAAAGTAGCCGTGCTATCTGTATCCCCAAGAGCTGCAAACAAGTCCAAGAAAACTCAGTGAAGGAGAAATAAACCGCCCAGTTACAAAATATTAAATCTTGACTCATAATACTTACGAGGGTAGCTATTTTGTCACCATCAAGCAAGTGAAAAACGCCATCTGTAGGAGAGTAAAAACAGTTAACTTAGTAACGCAAACCAACTACATGGTAGTAGCTGATCAAGAGGGGGTGCAGATGGCACACCCTCCCCCCCCCTATTTTTCGCAGGTTTTTTTTCTGTTTCTTTTTTTTAGGAGGTACGTCTTATATTTTTTTTTCTCTGTTTCTTTTGCTTTAAACTGGTTACCAGGATTACTTAGAATTAAAGCTGTGTAAGTTACGATTGGGTTGAACAAAGTATTAACAAAGTGTTGGGGAAGGTGATTAAAGGAATGCCTACAAATAAATAAATAAATAAATACCAGTTGCTGAAAAGTCCGGCCCAGATTATCTGAATAAAAGCTAGCACGATTCTTTTACCATTGAAGGGGCCTTCATGATAGGAATGATAGTACGCCCGTATTGGTCTATACTCACCACTGTCTACGAAGTAGTAAACAATCCTGTCAGCATCACCGTCAAGCGAAACACACTTCCTTCCTGCTTCTTCTGTAGGCATACCTTTCAAGTTTAAATAAACAGAACAATTTCAGATAAAAGTAGACATACTTTTTCCTGAGTCAGCTCTCTAGTAATTTAATATAGCTCTACTATATTAACTTACTAGAGCGCTGACTCATGTACAAAGTGATGCCTGCTGGGCACATCCATGTTTGTACACAAACCTATGGGGAACTAGAACTTTTGTACATATTTTGTACGTCTATTTGCATATCTGCGTTTGTATTCCATACCGGTACATCATCGAAGCTGATATGCCAAAAACCAAAACGCACAATCAGCAAATGAGGGTGTCATTTTGCTCTACACAAACAGCACAACGCGTGTGCGTATCCGCAGCAGCTTTGATTAGCCATGTGGTTTTTTAAACCATAACACGCGTAAGAAGTTTGCGTGCGTTCTACTTGCGCATTGCATTTAGAGTACACTTTCAAAATTCAATCCATCTAATTTCATTATGTTCTACAAACACGCACATAAATTCAAAATGTCTGCGCCCAGGACAGCTTCAAAGCATCTCCGCACGCAAGAATGAGGAGCTAGCGCTCTAGTAATTTAACATAGCTCTATGGCCTTTCCTCATAGCCTGTTAATCCTGAATGAATACTTAGTGTAGAGCAGCCTTATGGAGACTGGATCATCGTTTCAATTTAATTTAAATGACTAGGATCACTGACAACATCTGTTTCTCAAAAGTGTCCTATTTGCTAACTATTTGGTACTATTCTGCTTCTAATGGGATTGTTCTGTGTAATACATATACCTTGTGTTTTTTTTTAAATATTCTTTTTCCTTATTCAACTGCCAATGGAATAAGCCACTTGCGTGTTAAATTTGAATAAAATCTGGAATGCTGACTTAATACAATGCTTTGCACGTTTTAACCTAGCATTCTCCCGACCAAAGAGACTGTTACTATATCACGTGATTCGGGGCAAGCCTTATGCTAGCAACCCCCAGCTCCAGCATGGTCTGGTGTCTTTGTGCCATTCTCACCCATTGTGAACGATGTATTGGTGCTGAGCGTCTCTTACGTAACTATGCAAGAGCTTGCCCCGAATCATGTGATTAGCAACAGTGTCTTTGGTCTGGAGAATTCCAGTTAAAATGTGCCAAGCATTCTGAGCAAGTCATTGCACCAGACGTTTTTCAAATGTAAATCCCAAAGGGTATAGGTTACACGCAAGTGGCTTATTGCTGTGGTATTTAATGCAGACACGCGAAAAATGAAACTCAAAATCTAACTGAAGCACAAAATCTAACTGAAAGCATGAGATGTCAACTATCAGCAAGCATATGTGATGCGATCAAGCTACATGAGTCGTTTGTCGACCCTGGTCAATTTTTTTTTTAATAACAGATTTGAAAAGAGCACAATCTCAGCATTACTGCTGTGAAAACCATATGCTGATACCATCTTTAGTTCAAAAATTATAGAAGTTGGAACATCCAGAGATGTGATGAAGTGATGTGATGAAGTTTCCCTATTTTGGCCTGTATCTCCAAATAAAAATTCCTGACAAACGACTCATTTAGCTTGATCACATATTCAGTATTATGAGCAAGATTACGAGAAAAAGTGTACTATTATGGGAAAAAGCACATTTATTATATATAAAGACCAGAATTAGCCTCACAATATACTCAAGAATGAATACATCCATCATGAAACACTTAACATGTGAAAGAGTTTTTTTTTTCTTTTATAAAAATAAATCATGATCTTAAACATTTAAAATCTGTCTGAAAAAAAGATAAAAATTCTCAGAGGCAAAGGTCTAGAGTATGACTTACCATGGGGTGGCTTCTGCTGGACTTTGACAAAGTCTGCTCCACACTGCGAATTAAACCAAAAGCGAAGAAAACATAAACAAAAAATGACTTATTTTTGACTACTCCCTTGCAGTTTTGGTGTAGTTTAGTGCATGTCATTTGGACAGAGGTGCATTGAAAAATGCTGGCGGTCTAACAGTGAGAGCGTTTGTATTGCGGGTCACCTATTTTGCCTTGCAAAAGAAATCCTAGTTTGTATGTTCTAAGGTAATTTTAATAGACAGTTCTATGACAAAACACACAAAATAAAGGCAACGCAAAAAAAAAAAGGTACATTTTTGGCAATCGTACCCTGTCATTCAGTTGCCCGTGTGTTCCATCGTTGTAGACCGAAATCTTGAGTTGGTTGTTGAGATGTTGACACATTTGTTGGATTTTCAGAGCTCCGATGCCGTTGGCTCCATCTACCGACAGCTCACCCGTGTACTCACTCTCGTCAGTTTCGCTCTGCTACAAAAACAGGAAGTCCATCAAATGTCCATTACAAGGATTCAACTCTCATGTCAAGTCAAGCTTTTCAAACAAACTTTCATCAAAATGGCATTCCTGTGTCTTTTTCATGCCCTATTACTTCTGGCTGGACTTGGGAAGGGTGATGTGATTATCCCTTGATTGAACTTGTGAGGGACTCATGATGAACTTGACAATAACACATCAGATGTTGTGTAGCAATCATCCATTCTTCAGAACATTTAACCCTTGCTTCACAATCCTCCGAAACACATAAGGCCAAAAAAAAAAGTCTCCGGTTTCTGGTATGCGCGAGCGTCACCGTAGCCATGCGCGTCAGCAAAATTTAAAAGTTTTTTTTCAATGTAAGATGATGTCTCAAAACCACCAAACTCACTGGTACAAAAGAGAGAAAAAAAAAAAACCAAACTCACTGGTTTGACTGGAATCCTGCTGCTGCACAATTTTAACGTGCTTTTAGATGGGGTTACGATCAAGTATAAGCTTTATGTGGCCTCTCTGGGCTCCGATACATTTCGCACTAAATTTAGTCGGGCACTATTTGCAGTCATCAGCCAACATTTGAAAGAAAAAAAAGTAAAAAAAAAAAAAAAAAAACGCGACGTCGCACCACTTTTGGGGCAAGCTCCATACCAGAAACCGGAGACTTTTTTTTTTGGCCTAAACCCTCCGACTTTCACAAACTCTCAAAAAATCGATCCACTTCCTTTCCCATAGCTTTTGTACCGTCTGGTCACCAACTGCCACAACCCCTATAGATTCAACCATGATTCACATTTCTTGTAGGCACTGTGACAGTCAAATTCCACCGACAGACACAAGCCAGTGACTGGGAGGCACAGCCGGCTTATCAATCTCCCACAGTCAAAGCATAGCTACATAAGGTTTCATAGCAATCACAGCCAGTCAATCCTGCTTTATGAAGGCAGGGAGCACTCAACTGTTAAAAACAGTCACTTGATTTATTTTGACTGCTGGGCTGGCCTTGTTGAAATTGCCAGCCAGACTGGGAGGGTTTTATATACACTACATTGTACATATATACACTGTCGAGAGCACGTTCTCCTGTTTTACTATACTCCCAAAGACAATGCTTTGTTTTTCCCTTTGTCCCTGTAATATAACACTCTCCCATAGACTAGGCACACGAACCTACTACAGACAGGCACGAAACTGGGAATTTAGAAAAAAACGAGGAAAATCCAAACCACACAAGAATTTGTACAGTGTTTTTCACTTTGTAATGGCATTCATGAGAAATTTAAAAAACGAGGAAATCAGCGGATCCGAGGAAAAGTTGCATGCCTGTACAGAGGACCGTTTTGAACAAAAAACCCAATGCCCGACGACTGAAAGGATTTGTTGTTCTCCCTTTGTGTGTCGGTCCTCAGGGGTTATGAAGAACACATACATCAGCACATCCAGCTGCAGACCACAATTAGGCATATCCAAATTTCTTGGCCACAGCTTGAAAGTACACACAAATATATGGAAAGTGGCTGCAGCGGCTACCATAGACCCTGTGCAATTTCAAGCCGTACCCAAGTAATTTCGGACACGGCCTTGCGCTCAAAGAGCAGGGCTTTAAAAAATACACTGACTGTAGAAAGCCTCGTTCACACCTGTTCTCTGACTTTGGTGAAGGCCGACGCCAGCTTGCTGTAGTAGCCATGCTCAGTCGGATTGCCGTAGCCTCCTTGTGTGTTTTGGCACCGCACCATGTAGTGCAGCTGCGGTGTCGACAACAGACCTGGGAAAAACAAATCATAATCATGTTCAGAAAACAAGACAAGCCCAGTAAAGCGCGTGGGGCGCTGTGGTCCAATGGTTACTGTGTTCGACTCGTGCGCCGTGGTACATGGGTTCGAATCCTGACCGCGTACATGGTGCTTTTGTGTTCTTGAGCAAGGCACTTTACCATTATTGCTTCGTCCTTCGGATGGGACGTAAAGCCATAGGTCCTGTGTGTTGGGTAATGCACGTTAGAACCAAGTAACACTTAAGAGAAGGGGTTTGCCCCAATGTTTCTGGCAGTGGCTGCAATATGCGCCACAGCACTTAGCAAAAAAGGTGCACTACATAATGGATCTCATATAATGTTCATATACTTCATTTACCTGTCTTTGGTTGCATTCTCCCCAGCGCTTTGTATCCTTTGGAAAAGGCGCTATATAAATACAGTTTTATAAAGCAGGTCCCAGAGTGCACACATTTGTTGATTGAGAACGGCCGTTCACTGGAAGTCTTTTCATTCATGTGTCTACACAATGGGCTTGGTTTAGCCCATTACACTTAACAATTGTTGACTGCTGTGATGTGAGATATGAGGCTTTGAACACCCGAGGGGCGCATAGCACCCTCGGCTTCACCTCGGGTGCTGTGCGCCCCTCGGGTGTTCAAACGTCGTATCCCACATCACAGTAGTCAACAATTGTTTTGTTATACCTCTGTCTTGGATTCTTTGGATTTTGATGTAAAAATCACGAAAACAAATGGCAGTAAACACAACAAACATGACAATTTACGGCAACTCACATGCATGTCACGTGCTCGAAACAGCTGATCGTCTGCTAGTTCGCTGCTCCCACTCATGTGTGAAAACATGGTGAAAATAGCGTGGGTACCAACGATACAAGCATTTCACACCGTACGTACCGCAAACGTACAAAGTCATAGCACACTCCCTGTGGGATATAGCGTACGTGATATCCCACAGGGATTGTGCAATGACTTTTTATAAACTTAACACATGATCATTCTAGGCCAATGAAAATACAGTATTCAAGACAGAGGTATAACAAATCCAGGTACCAACCCTGACATTTCTGAATGCTAAATCACATCCTCTAGATCTTAGTGTAGAAAAAGCCTAGATATTCTCATACCGTAGTCAATGTAGTCACCCTTGAGTGCTTGTATGCCATCGATTAGAGCTTGAGCTAATCCAAAGCTACTGGGTCTGCAAAACAAATGAAAACGGAAAGCATACAAGTAACACGTATGGTCGTCCAGTCTCCAATGGGCCACTACACATTGACTTCTGCCTAGTAGTTACCAAACAGAGACATTTCACATGTATCATAATTTCCCCCGTTACTTGTTCTTTACTGGATGGCATAGCTTTTGTTGTGCTTCATGTGCTAAGCTGATCTACAGGGTGAGTCAAACAAAGCGAAACCCAAATGTCGGGACCATTGTTTTAGTGAAGTTCTGCATGTAGCACTTTCAAAATCTAGGAAATGAAAGCCCAATTCATAAGCTTTCTTTTAGTACAAGAGTCACTCAAATCACTCATGCTATTTTGAAGTTACGGAATGTTAAACATTAACCACGGTTTTTAAAGTTCTGTCCACGGATCACCAAAAAAGGTAAGTGTTCTTTTCATCAAAACGAAAACAAATCCCATAGGGATGTGTGTGAGTTGCTTTCGTTTTGCTGAAAGAACACACATTTTTTTTGTGATCTGTGGACAAAACTTTAAAAACGGTGGTTGTGTTTAGAATTCCATAACTTGAAAAGTACTTGAGTGATTTGAATGATTCTTGTACTAAAAGAAAGCTCAATGAATTGGGCTTTCATATCCTAGATTTGGAAAGTGCTACATGTAGAACTTCACTAAAACAATAGTCATGACATATGGGTTTCGCTTTTTTTTTTACTCATCCTGTATAATGTTGTGCATCAGGTCTGGTTGACCAGGCCTGACCGATACACCCTGTTTGATACACCCTGTTCATGTACATTTCTAAGTGCATGTAAGATAGTTCAAAACTAAAGGCCCCCCCCCCCCCAAAAGGCTCTGGTTTCTGGTCTGTGTACGCATTGCCGCAGCCATGCGCATCGGCAAAATTAAAAAGTTTTTTTTTTCAATGAAAGATGATGTCTCAAAACCGCCAAACTCACTGGTTTGACTGGAATCAAGCTGCTGCACAATTTTAACGTGTTTTTAGATTGGGTTATGGTCGAGAATAAGCTTTATGTGGCCTCTCTGGGCTCTGATACATTTTGCACTAAATTTAGTCACGCACAATTTGCAGTCATCAGCCGACATTTGATGAAAAAAAAAAGTTATAAAAAAGAAAAAAAGCTGCGTCGCCGCACCACTTTTGGGGCAAGCTCCATACCAGAAACCGAAGATTATTTTTTGGGCCTAACTGAGGGTCTTTTTTGTCTGAGTAGAGTTGGCGTGTTCTTTCACTCCCTGCCATCTTATGAAATTCTTTGCCCATTGCAGAGAATTAGGTATTACCCTAACATACAAAATGTACCTGAATCCATCAAAATCCACACCCCTGTTTTGGAGGATTTTGATGGATTCAGGATACCTTCAAATTGAGTAGTTGGGGGACTTTGATGGATTCAGGATCTCAACAGATTAACTTCCGGCTAACTGGTGGATTCTGATGGACTCGCTGGCCACCAACATGTTTTTTTGCATGTCAAAATTGATGGATTTTGGTGGATTCAGGACACTTTCTAGTAAAAATGCCCAAGGGGTTAGGGTTAATCAACTGTACCTTGTATCTCGTGCCAAGAAGATGTTCGCTGGCAGTGCCATGTCTATGTTCAGCTCACTGATGAGGCTTTGGACGCACTGGCCTAAATCTTCATCACTAGAATAATAACCAAATGAAATAATGAATGGAAAAAGCCAGACTTGTATTGAATGAACAGGTGAACTGTAAGGACATGGATAATGATGCATGGGACAAGAAGCATTAACCGCCCTGATCCTTCAAAATCCTCTTTGCCAAAGTGGATGAATGTGGAGGGTTGAGGTCACATGGCAAAAGTGCGTTACTGATTTCCCAGGATGCACTTTGTCAAGGTCTTTGGCCGGGCCTTGTGTTGTTTTTACTCAGCCATGCATAAATATAGGCCTGGATTATGCTTGAAATCCTCTGTACTGCTCCAGGATGTCACTGGCCAAGCCTCAACATATTGACAGTCACTGCCGGAGGATTTTGCAGGATTCAGGCAGTGGTCACCCCTCCACGGACCATATTCAAGAAATAATGGAGGAATTTGCAGGATTGAGGCTACATGCTATTTTTCCAAGAGGCCAATTGGAGGATTTTGCAGGATTGAGGCTACATCCTAGCAAAAAGGCCTAGGGGGTTAGGGTTAATATGCCTTTACCCATCATCTTTGCATTTTGTCAAACAGGAAAAACTGTTAAGCGCAAACACACGTGCCTGCAATTCACTGGCCCCTGTCGACTGCACAGTGCCCGAACAAAGTGCGGGTTATTTAATTTCACGAGATCCCATGCGTACAAGCACTGTGCGATCGATTTCCCCTGCCGTTTGTTTCAAGCAGTGTCCGAGTGTCAGACAGCAATTTCCACTCAACTCGCGTACTCTTAAAATTTGAAACTTTTCAAACTGCATCAAGTTTTTGGTAGCAAAGGGGGTATCACAATGTTGCTAACAACATTCTCCAAAGGTCTATACATGTGAATGATGTTGTCATAAGACGATCAGATTCAAAATTGTGACCCCTCTCATGAGTGCGTACGTGCTTTTGCGGTGTTTATAAAGAACAGCTAGTGGAATGGCTGACATTTGACCGATTTTGAGGAAGAAATTTCAAAGATATCATGCACGAAATTGGCTTTCAACAAAATTTGAACCCCTGCCCCCCCCCCCCTCCCCAAAAAAAGACCATACAACTTAGGCCAAAAAAAAAAAAAAATTCCTCAGGGTCCCCACCCGCTTTTTTTTGGAGGCAGCCTCAAACATCATTTTAGCCTCTTTGTCTTTCACATCTAACCCATAAAATGCTGGTACATGTATGTCATTTCCTGAGACCAAGTGGCGGTCATTTAAAAAAAAAGCTGACGAACATTTTGAAAAATAGCCCGGCCGGTCGTTTTAAAATATGGATCAAAAAGGAAAAAAGGGCCTCCTCCTTCCTTTTTTTTGCAAAAAGACAGGATGCTGAACAGTTTTTTTTTTCTGTTTGGCCTTATACGATTCAAATAACATTGTGGACAGTTTTAAATCATCCCCTCAGACCTCCCAAAATTTTCAAATGTTTGAATCAAATATATGCTATTCGTATACATTCAGTTGATCATCAAAAATTTGAATATTGGCACGGCCCTGAACTGGTGCATATGTCTAAAGGCAATTTTATACTCAGTGCAAAAGCAGACAGCATATTTGTGAGGTTACACAAAAGTTTTTTGGCTTTGAAGTTAAACATACCGCATATTCCAACTACGATGAAGTTTGTATAAATCTGGATTAATTCACTAACTTTCAAGCTACACAAAACTTGTGGATTATTCACTTGATCCTCTAAGCACGAGTGGTTTGGGTACAACAGTTTCAATTATCTCCTGCAACCATGCATGAACATGTAAAAGTACACATACATTTTGTACAAAATAAGGCATGAGAATCCATTCAAATCTGTTTGCCCTCGTTTTGAATTGTATTATAAATCACAACAAACAGTTTTTAACAGGTTTCAGTCCCTGGCATCCAGCAATGACAAATGTTCATACATGTACCGATACATTGTATCTATACATGTAGGTCTTGCCATGATGACTGATAGCCAGGCAAATGATTTTAAGCTCCAAACGCATCCTTTTTTTCACAACATGCAGGATTTTACACAGCTTACACAGCATATCAAAGCACTGAAATAGATTAAGGCAAGGAACTTGGTCACAGTGTCCAAAAATGGTGTTGCGATCAATTGACCATTGTGCAGTGAGGCATGAGGGAAATCTGCACAATTTAAAATAATTCGAAATTTGCATCGTGATTTTGTTATTTAAAAAAATGTTTAGACGGACACATTTTTGAGGACATACTGATGTGTATTCTGGAGATTTTTGAATGTTCAGGATTTTGGTTAAAAAAAGAAGAAAAAAGATCCTTATAAGCTTTTGGTAAATGTACATGCATGTCCTGCATTATTAAAAATATTCATCTTGAGATCAATGGTCATTTCAACTTCAACTGATAGGCCTAGAGTTACAAGATGTTTTGGAGACATCTGTAACAGAAAAAAATTAATAAGATCTGATCAAAGACAGGAATTTTTTCTTTAAAAAAAATGACAGTCATCGTAATTAAATTTGTAAGCCATTTTTGACCATTATCTTTGCAAAATAATTGAACATCCTTTATAGCTTGTTTATTTCCATGCACACTGTATGCCTTTACATAAAACCGGGAAGTGCGTTAATGGGCTCTGACATTTGCAAAACTAACAAACAACTCCTTATCTATCGGAAGAAGGATCAAATCAGGCCAGAAACCATGGAAACTATAGTTCACTTGAGATGAATAATGCGTTACCATGGAAACCAGGCATGAAAATTTGCCCCAGGATTAACTTCTGCATTGTAACACAAACGACACTAACAGTGTAAAAAAAAAATTGGAGATTAGACATAATAAATTATCAAACAAATTTCTGGAAATTCGGCATTTCATTTCCTTTTTGGTACTTTTTTTGTTTGTTTAAAAATCAATGAAAGGCATACTGTAACACCTGTTGTGTCTGAGCCACTATTTCACAGCCGGTCGTAAATGATTGACAACAAAATGGCCAGAATTGCACATACAAGAATGTTCAAATATCCTACACTTTCAATATTATCAAATCTGTATTGTAAAGAGTATTTTACAAAGACACAAAAAAAATCAATGCTTTTTCTAAGGCAAAAATATACTGCATACATACATGTTCATATTCATTTACTGTGTGCACAAATAATATTCCATAATGTGGTGACGTACATTATGTACACTGATGATAGAAACTATACATATACCTTGAGTGAAAAACAAATCTATTTCAGTCTTACATTAAGGACATTCATATTATAACAGGGTGAGTTAAAAAAAGAAAAGAAAAAAAAAAGAGAGACCCAAATGGTTCCCAATATTTTGTTTTATAACTTCTGCATACAATGTACATGTATTTATGTTGTACTTTCCATATCTAAGACGTGAAAGCCAAAATAATAAACTTTCTTTTAGTACAAGAATCATTCAAATCACTCATGTCCTTTTTGAGTTATTGAATTTTGAACACAAGGACAGTTAGAACTTTTTACCACGGATCACATTTAAAGCCAGAGTCCATCATTTGCAACTATCCCAAAAGTAACTAGTGTAATTATTGTTTAAAAACATACTTGGTTGAAAGACAGTAAGGGGACTAAACTCCCTGTGAAATTATTCTTTCTGGCAAGCTGTCATTTTGAAGAAATCAACGAAAGAAGACCTTTTCTAAACGGTGCGTCTTAAGAAGCACCGTTGGAAATTTCCGTTAGTAGTTCGTTTTTTTTGTTCGGCGAAGTGCGCACAAGCATTGACACGACGCACACGCGCGCGCAGTTGCTAGAATTCGTCGGATCGGTGCGGGACATCGCATAGCTGCAATCGGCTCAGTGAGAACGTGTCTCGGACGCTGAATTCAGGCCAAATTCAAAACAGGATTCAGCAACTTTTGATTTGACATTGAGATCCTAGAATGTTGTTTTTCTCGAAATATGCAGCTGAAGCTGAGCTGAAACTTCATCAGATTAGTTGTTCACTACCCTTCTTTAGATTTTGAGCACTTTTGTTGCTGCAAACGAACAAAATGCACAAATTACAAATGATGGACTAAACCTCTATGGTATCAAGAAAACAATATCAGAATAATCCCGTAAATCTCCGGGTAGCCAAGTCGAAAGCCGGGCAAGACTATAAACTCTTGACAATCTAAAGCATGTTGTTTTAACATTGGACGCAGAAGGTGTTTAAATAGAGGTTCTGACATGTACATGTAAGTGCCAGTTATCATGGTCATGAGAGTGTTCTGGTGGGTTTTTTTTTATATGAAATGTTTTAGTTTTGCTGAAATATCACTTACCTTTATTGTGATGCATGGACACTATGAGAGATATGAACGATTGTTTTACTAAAATAAATCGCTTTTCAATTTTGGAAACTGGATATTTGTAATCCAGAATTTTTTTGCCGAAAATTTTGATTTTTGCAAAAGGCAAAATTTTACAGCCAAGGGCCACAAATACTGATTTTCAAGAGTAATTTTAACAGTATTTGTACGATCTTTCTTGCTGAAACTTCATATGTTTCAATACTCCAGGGTGTGCACTGGAGCGTAAACAGTAAACAACGCCTCTGCATACTTCACAGACTTTGTGTGAGTGTACAAACGGCATGAGGGATTAGCGTGTTTAGACGTCACCCAGAGGCGAGTCGAGGCAATCTTGACATCTAACCCATCAGCCGTGCCTGTATAAAAACAGCCAGTGCGTGTTATCACGTCCTCCGACATGAACTGGTTTAAAGTGAACCTCAACCAGTGTGGATATGAACAATGCAGATATCAACAATTCTGTCTCCACAATACTTACGATGTATTTGCGATTTGTGTTGCGTAGCCTTCCCATGTCTGTAGCAGCATCTCCCCCATGGGCTCCACCACCTTGGCCCCGTTGTCCTGCTCCGGGTTGTGGGAGGCTGTGATCACGACTCCAATGGTGGCTGTCAATAGGGCCAAAAAAAGAAGAAAACAAATGTACTAGTGGACCAGCCAAAGTGGAACGTTACACTTTGGACAACATTTTTTGGTAATTGCAGGCAACCATGTCAGATCAATCAGTCAAAGGATGGAGACGAAAATGTAGGTGGATGCCACCCATAATTTTGACCCAAAAATACCTAATTTGCATAAATTGTTAATCCCTGCCGTGTAATATATTTATTCCCATAAAATTAGGTATATTCTTTATTTTTTATTTTTTTAAAGTTTATTTTGGTGATTCTACTTACACACCCTTACTTCAATAACATTTTCTTAAGCATATAAGTGACTGAATAATTATGAGGACATAGTAATGCTCCAAAATGGCTAAATGTAAACAAAAATTAACAATAACAAGTCAGGTGTGTTTACAAACACAAATGCCCCGCAACGGTGACAGTTCCCATGACATAACACCACTCTTTTAACATCAACTTACATGTACCTTGGTCACATGGAACATTCATTGACAGCATTAGTGTCTTCTGTAGGTTTTATATGAATTAATCCCTAATCCCTATAATCTCAGAATAAATACATGATTTCTATTGTTTTAGCCACTGTGAACTTGACCCTTGACCTTTTGGCCCCAAATTCAATAGGCATCTTAGGATTACCAAGAACAATCCACAAACCAAATTTGAAGTTCATATGTTAAGTATTTCTCAAGTTATCGCGCTGACAAGATTTCTATTGTTTTAGCCACTGTGAACTTGACCCTTGACCTTTTGGCCCCAAATGCAATAGGCTTTTTAGGATTGCCAAGAACAATCCACAAACCAAATTTGAAGTTCACATGTAAAGTATTTCTCAAGTTATCGCGCTGACAAGATTTCTATTGTTTTAGCCACTGTGAACTTGACCTTAGGCCTTTTGGCCCCAAATGCAAAAGGCTTCTTAGGATTGCCAACAACAATCCACAAACCAAATTTGAAGTTCACATGTAAAGTATTTCTCAAGTTATCGCGCTGACAAGATTTCTATTGTTTTAGCCACTGTGAACTTGACCTTTGGCCTTTTGGCCCCAAATGCAAAAGGCTTCTTAGGATTACCAAGAACAATCCACAAACCAAATTTGAAGTTCATATGTTAAGTATTTCTCAAGTTATCGCGCTGACAAGATTTCTATTGTTTTAGCCACTGTGAACTTGACCTTTGGCCTTTTGGCCCCAAATGCAAAAGGCTTCTTAGGATTACCAAGAACAATCCACAAACCAAATTTGAAGTTCATATGTTAAGTATTTCTCAAGTTATCGCGCTGACAAGATTTGTCCGGACACACACACACACCCATCAACCCACACACCCACCCACACACCCACCCACGGAAGGACAAGGCGGAAACAGTATGCCCCTTCGGCTTCGCCGCGGGGCATAAAAATTAAAATAACTTTTTCATGTAGCAGAAATTCCATAAAATACATGAATATGCACCTCTGACGGCTCTGGATCTCAGAACGACAAGGAGCCCAAGGCGATACAACACTGGATCCAATATATCAGCCCTGCAGTAGAGAGAAAGTAATATTAATGCACTGTGAATTTATAATAATATCACTAATCGGTACAAATATATAACTGTGATTGTTTCAGAACACAATGTACATGTTTCTACATGTATACTAAAAAGGTGGACAGGTTATCCCTTAAATTAAAGGGAATGTACATCATTGGCTTTTGCTGTAATTTTCAGAAATGAACTATTTGAGGGGTTAGTATAATAGATCAGATATTGTTACACTGTGTTCGAAAATGCTGGAAAAGCCAAGAAAAACCAAAAATGTTCAAGTTGTCTGGTTCCCTGACTCCACTAAACTTGAAATGGATCAATTTATAGATGCTGGAAAATTGTAAGGTAAGGGAACCAGTCTAGCTGGCCTACACCCGTTCATGAACATGTAACCAATAGCAAACAAAGTCTGGACTGAAAAAAATGGTAAATTTGGAGCAGTAGTTGAAAAATAGTTAGGTTTTTCCAATGGAAATACCACTTTTCTTGAAAATGACTTCACACCAGGTGCCATAATTTTACAGGATGCTTTAGACTGTCATTTACCAACATCCTAGTAAGGTATTTCGTAAAAATTTGGTAGTTTTGTTTTTCGATGTTTGCAAATGTTGTATACATGTATTCCCTTTAAGTCTTGTCTGCATTGCGTGATCACAATGGTGACAGCACATGCATCATGCATGCAGCAATTGCAGTGGGGCGGGGGGGGGGGGGGGGGGAATGCTCCCCTTTTGATACCCTGGACACCAACAGCTCGATATTGAACAATGTTAAAGAAAAAATGTTCGACTTCCTAAACTGCAGCCTTTTCCTCTAAAAATGGAATTTGCTAACTGATAAATTAATAATTTTTTTTCAAATGTTGAGCACTAAATGTCAGCAGTGAGATTGGGAATAATAAAAAAATCCACAAATTTGGCAGCGGTTTTGAGGGTTAAAAAAACCCAAAATAACGTACGTGTTTTATATCCATGTATTTCTTTTGTTCAATATAAACTTTTATGTAGGTGAAATAACACATTTATGGTAAAACCGCAGGAATTCCAGATTTCAGAAGGTACATTGTATTCTTTAAAAGTCGTGAAATCAGGAAAAACCATGGCCAAAAAAAATCGTGAATTCAGGGAAAATCCTGACAAATCTTGCCCTGATGGACAGTTGAGCCCTGATAAGAGCACTGTTAATACAACGTCATGCTTACAACAAGCAAAATTTCAGGTCCCACGTCTTTGTTTTTCTATGTTTTCCTTTGTTTTCCATTACTGTTAATACAAGGTACCTGTTATAACAAGGTAATTGTAAAGTCCCAGGGACCTTGTTATCAAGGTGTTCGACTGTATACATACATTATGTGGTTACAGTGCATGTATACATCTATATGCTGTACAGCCTAGCTGAACATGCTGAATGCATGTACAAATGTACACGTGTTTGACCTTGGTCACCTGTTTTGAGCACAAAAGAGACCAACAAAAGGGTTGGTACACAGACCTTTTCATTAACAAAAGTTTACTGAATTCTATTGTTTACTGTTTATTTGCATTGTTTATTCCAGACAAGTATTATTCCTTTGCCACATACAGTTTATCCAAGCAAACATGGTATACTGTTCAAACAATTTTGGGGTAGAAAGTAGTCCTGATGCTCCTTTTGTACCTTTTATCAAAAGAAAATAAATGAGGCCGAGGAAAGTTTTCAAATTTTGCGCAGCACTGTTTGAATACACGGCGCAACTCCTCTAAAAGTCTTTTGAAAGGTTTTCTGTCCCCAATGGTAAAGTGAGATTAAGACAACAGTACACTGTTTATACAGTGTACAAACATCAAGTGTTATTTTTCGTATTCTCTTTTGTTTTGAAGTGTTTTTATCTACTGTGAATCGCTGTCCCGTATTTTTTGTCTGCTTTTGTGCTGGCACTTCATCTGCGCATGAGCATTTATACAAGTTTGCATTATCAGATAATCCTTTTGACTCGAGCAAACCTGTGGCATGATGTTTAAGGCGTTCAACCGGAACCGTGGGCCTCGTGACCCAGGTTCGAGCCGCGGCTGAGCGAGGCTTATTTTGTTTTTCGTTTTTCCTCTAAGTGCATTTCTTCCTTTATCCCTAACCCTGGTAAATGTAACAGAAAGCAACAAAGATAAAAAAAGTTGTTGCATGCTGTTGCATTCAGCAACCAAGTCCGCCTGCTCTGTTGCATCTTGTCTATTTTTCGTGAAATTTCCAGATTCGTTTGCACATGTTTGCTTATCAACATTTCAACATGAAATTTCACGAAAAATAGACATCTGAAAAAGGCAGCACTTTCTGATTAGCCTAAAAAGAGGGTGAGTATGCTTCTAAAGCAAAAATAACCTACAAACTATGCTTAAATGTGAAAATCAAAATTTGACAAAGTTCGACATGTTTTTGTACATGGCGGAAGTGTGGCCTTTATTTACGGAGGTAGTCCAGTAAATTGGCCATTTATGGGGCTATTAGCAGGGTAACTGCTCGTAGTGCCGAGCTATACAACATAATCCACTGTTGCATTTGGTTGCAGTAACTGCTTGGTGCCAAGGCTGGTAATAATGCACTAGGTTCACAGCACAATCCAACGGAATCCACTGTTGCAATTTGTTGCATTTTACAGGGTTCTAATTTCAGCCAAGGTCATGAAGGTTGTTGTATTTTGACAGGGTGCCTTGAGAAAACCTGTTGGGGATGAGGATTATTGTTTTACAATCGAACCCTGCACTTCATTGCAAATTGTTTTGGTTTGCTTGTCTTATTCACTGCTCCCTGGAGGATTTTTTTTTAACGGGAAGTTAAGTCCGAAACTGTCTGATCATGCCGATTCCCGTCTCCCGTCTAGTCTCCTGAAAGTCACACCAACAATGTCTTGCGAGCAACCAGACAAAGATTTGTCACGGTAAAAATGTCTAATTAAGTCCAAAAAAAAACATCCACTGCGTACGTTCGGTGGGGTGCCGGACAATTAACTTAAGTCTTAATAAGAGGGAAAACAATCGAGGACCGATTCGTACCTGTTGTTAATTCACCCGTAATTCCTGTTAGCATTTTTCACAAAATCTTACTGGCATAAGTTGTTCTTCTGCCATGTCTACCTCGCTCTCGAAAGTTTTACGACATCCCCCCCCCCCCCTTACAAAAACAACCCGCAAACAACCCGCAAAATGTGCCAGAATAAAATACACAGCCTCACAGACACGGGGTCACACTCACACTCACAGGTGGTCATGGTGGTTCAACTTCAATCAAAACCTTTCAATTTTTTTCTAAAGACTAAATTTATTACCTGCAACGTATTCCCGCTGTTCCATAACTGAAGACATTCTTCCCTTTATGAGGGTGTTTACTGGCTCCAACAGCTATCGCTTGGTGTACTGGCAAATTGTTCATTTTGACAAAAAAAATAACGAATCAACAGTCACACTCACAAAAACCTTCAAAGCGTTTCGTCCGAAACTGAATCTCAAGGTACAGTCCGTGTAAAATATAGTCGGGTGCAAATTGCACGCGCGCACGCTGCCGTCAGCTGTGATGAACAGCGCCACCAAGGGTTTAATAATAGATCAAGTTCACCCATGCGGCGAATCGGGATGAAGGGGAGGGGGGAGTTAGGGGATATCAATTTAACCTTGTTATTTATAACTAGTACTAAATAAGTGAAGACGACTGTTATGCTGTAGCCTACCCTTAGGATTTTCCTATTCCTTGGTTGGCAACCAACATTATTGACACTTTACAGCTTTCGAAAAAAACAACTAGACACTACTACTGGGGCCCTCTTTTTTTTTTTTTTAGTTTGGCTTGGATCGGTCGGTTAGGAGCTATAGGCGCTAAAGAGCTATTAAGAGTTCCCATACTCAATTGGAAAATATACCAATTGGTTCCAATTGGAAAAATCAATTGGTAACGAATTTGAAATTTGGCTAAGTAAGGCTAGCGCCCTAGTTACACTGCACTGCAAAAAAATGCTGGGTAATTGAAAGCTGGGCAACTTCATTTCGGCACCTATTGGGCAATTTCACCGCAACAAATGGATGCGATTTTCAGTTGGCCATCATTGGTTAAATCATATTTTAAAGTTTTTTTCGAACATGCTGACTTTATTTAAATTATATTTAATTATCTTGTAATTGAAACACTTAGTCATCAATATTTATTATTGTCAGCTGATCAAGGGAAAATTTGCTGATTTAATTTTCAACATCTCTTTGAAAATCGTATTTACACAAATCAGCCCACAAATGAATATATCCTTCGCCAATGTAGAGTGCGCACATTGGTAAAAAAAGACATGTTTAATAACAGTTTACTAGACAAATACAGACTCAAAGCCAACATGGGGGGGGGGGGGGGAGTACACCCATGTTACCATGATGCGCATCTACCATTTTGCAAATAAAGGACCCAATTCCAGTATCAAACATAATTTTGAACAGTTAAAATTTTAACAGAATGCAATTATCGTCAGTTGACATTTTGTATTTTTAATATTTTTTTCAAAACATGCTTGATTTGAGTTATATGTAATTATGTAGTAATTGAAAACCAAGTCAACATTTATTTTTGGAACATGTTGTCTTGACTCGAGTTATATTTAATTCTGAAATAATTGAACACCAAGTCATCAACGCATTATCGTCAGGTGATCAAGGGAAACTTTGCAGATTTAATTTCAATCATCTCTTTGAAAATCTAAATTTAAAAGATCATTATTAAAAAAAACCTAATGTAGCGTGATCAACTGCCTTTTAAATGCTTTAAAGGGGCTTCCTTCAAAGTATTAAGTTTAAAAGTGTTCAAAAGTTTGTTATTTTGATGATGATGTTTGTAATGAAATATTAAGAAAACCAAGCCTCGCTTTAAAGGAAAAGGAAATGAGGAACGCCATGCATTGTCGTTGGATGGAGCTAGGGCGCCGTCACCAGCTTTTCACGGCCGGGGAAGAATTGGCCACAGCCGGCCGCGGCTGACTGCGTTTATGTTAAACATAGACACAGTCAACTGAACGAACGACTACCGTAATTTTCGGAATATAAGCCGCGGCTTATACGTTGATTTTGCCCATGAAAATGTTTACGGCGGCTTATACGCCGGGCGGCTGATACGCCGAGTCTTGAAGAATAAAAATGAAATTCAGATGTGAATTTAATTTAATGGTAATTCATAATAAAAGATCTGTTGCTGAATTGAGTTATCAATCGCGTTACCTGAGGTAAGTTATTACCAAACAGTGGAAGCACGTCCCACGAAAACAATAGTCGAGTGGCTTAGATCCAACCTCATTTATACTTCGGGCATTTTCTTTAAATTTACTGATCAATGTGCGCATTGATAGCAGTTGGAAAATTCTTGTGTGAAATTAGAGCATGGTGCTTTTTTACAAAGAATAAACATTCAGACATTTTAAGATGATGTGACTTTCAGAGTTTTATTTCCAGATAGGGAGTGTCTGTATTATTATTACATGAGTGTCTTTCAATCTAAATGGATCTAGAATTTCACTTTAACCCAATTGTGAAACCTAGAAAATGCTTTTTTTTTTTTTTTAGACACAAATAAATAAAACCATTCAACAAGGTCTCTGGTAATTCCTATTTTACTCTTAGTGAGGTTTTGAGTATTATATTGATTGTTGCGAATTTGCCTTTTGGCCAACTGAACCCAGCAAAATCATTTTACAACAAATTTTTTTCCAGTACTTCTGTCCCCGAGATTACATGTGTTGTAAGTGCTTTTCTTCTTCAGAAAATTAAGAAATCGCAGAAAAGTGTTTATACCCCCCCCCCCCCCCTTTGTGTACTCCTTACAAGCATTGAGTTAGACGGGTTCGTGATACCTTTATGTTTCCGAAACATTCATATATACAAAATACTAAATTACAAAATTATCTTTAATAAATATGAGACACACTACACGTAACTGACTATAGTGCTACATATGTACAAAAACTATACACAGTGCTTCATTTCACTCAAATACTCGAACCCTTTTCAACCTTACCCTATTAAAGATGGACACCCCGTGCTCTTAAAAAACTGTTTTTTCTCTTTAGCAAATTTTGAATTTGTAAGTTCTGTTTTAACAGGAAAAAAATACTACTTTATTCGGATTTTGGGCGTCTGCATCCCTCTGAAAAAAGGTTTTCATTTTGTGCACAAATAACCCACCCTGTGAGAGTCTGGTAACCAATTATTCCAAGATTTATGAAAAAATTTGGTAATTACCATTGTTCCTACATACCTGCAATTTTAGGCCAAAAAAAAAAATACTCGGTCTCTGGTCAGCGCGCGCGTCGTTTTTAATCATGCGCGTCAACTTTTTTTTCTCTTCAAATTAACACGGAAGCTACAACAGCGCCCTCTATTGCCGCACCTCCTCAAATTTTTTTACCAAGGAGCACCAAAGAATGGGGAAAATGCACCAAGGCAAATGATAAAGGGCACCAAGGCAAATTATGGAGGACACCAATGTACAATGAGGACACAAACAAGCAAAATAGTACCCACCTTGTCTGTACAATTCAAGCTTGAAAAAAAAAAAAAGCCACCCCCCACAAAAAAAACCCGCGTCGCCGCATCAATTTCGAAACTTCGGTCTGACCAGAGACCGATTTTTTTTTTTTTTGGCCTTACATGTAGCATCTTAGTGTGAGACGAGTGCAATAATGTGATGCATTCCATCAAACAATCACATTTACACTGGTAAGTTCAACTTGACACCAACCACAGCTATCCTCCCTCCAATATCACTGGTCTCAAAACCTTGCTCCAAAACTTGTTTTTTCTAAGCGATACCATTTTTACATTGTCAGAATAATTTTTCATTCTGAAATCGATTTACAAATTGTCGACAAATTGAGCACACAGAAGATCCTTTGGACATGTGTGATGCAATCAAGCTAAATGAGTCGTTTGTCGACCCTGGTCAATTAATTTTTTTTTTTACAGATTTGAAAAGAGCAGAATCTCAGCATTACTGCTGTGGAAACCGCATGCTGATACCATCTTTAGTTCAAAAATTATGGAAGTCAGAACACCAAGAGATGTGATGAAGTGATGTGATGAAGTGAACCTTATTTTGGCCTGAATCTCCAAATGAAAAATCCAGACAAACGACTCATTTAGCTTGATCGAATCACATACCCGGTATTACTCCTTTTGATAGAGGAGGTCGCGAATTCCTTACCAGTAAAACACTGACTGGTGCAATCGGAAACCAAACTTTCGAGTTTGACGGTTTTGGTTTCAAATATTTTCATGTGCAAAAACTGGGGGAAAAGAAAAAAAAATAGAAAAAAGAAAAAAAGAAATTGTAAAAATCACGACGAGGTGACACACTGTACATATCTGATTTAAAAGGTCTACACTGAGCCTTTGAGCTACACTACAGATAGAGTTGTTTTGACTCAGCCGGCGTTGACTCCACAGGGCAGTATGGACATTTGATTCTGTGAAGAAAACAAATTGGATGGAAACGTTAGCTGATTGATTCATAAGGTTATGATCACAGGCACTGCTTGAAGGGACATAGGGGATGTGTGACAACAGTTATTGATGTCGGAACAAGTTTGAAATGATCTCGGAAGCTGCGGGCCAACGACTTTGGCCAAGTTCGCGCAAGGACTATAGTTGACCAATGGTTAACTAACGTTTGCCCGAACTCCGTCTAGTCAACGGTGGTTGACTACGCTAGTCGACTATTTGGAACCAGCCTACTGGGGTTGGTTGCTTCGCTGGTAACATAGCCGCGCGCATTCATAACGTACAGCAGAGAGCCAGGATCCAGAAGTTTTGCGATGACATTTTGACCAGCGTTTGACTAGAGACGTTCGCACGTTGGTATCAGTGCGCAGGCGTAAGGTTCGTCACAAATCAACCACTGGTCCTTGCCCGAACTTGGCCTTTGCGTTCATGCATGAGTGACAAGATTGTGCCATGTAATTTCTGGAAGGAGTAGTGTTTTGAGTTACAAAAATCTGGTTTTTGACCCTAGTGGCCCTTTTTTCAGGACTACATTAAATTAGTAGGCGGTCAGTGGAGACCCATGAAAGTGCAAAAAAAGAGGGCCCGGGCCTGAGGCACGAGTTGATATACCCTTTGCAAGGCCCTGAGGGACAAGTTGATTACTACCCATCGAAGGCTGTCACTGGAACGTTTGTTACTAACTAACTAACGGAGAGACATGACAATTTGTTGAGGGATTTTGTCAATCCCATGACTTAAAACTGACTTTGCGAAATCAATAGAAGCGAACAGTAGTCATTGTGTTCCTGGGTTTTCGGTGGGAGAAGTAATGGCTTTTCCTTTACTCTACTAGTTCAAAAACCTGGCCTTTGAATATAATGTCGTTGTTCTCTTCTTTATTTTATGATTTTTAAACCAGGTAGGTATCTAGATAATTGTAGGTGATACTTTTTTGGGTATATTATTTTAAAACTACCCGTAAGCAAAACGTCCCACTTACTTGTTTCCGTTGGTCAGTTTGTTGAGGGAATCTCTTGAGATGGCATGTCCGCAGGTCAGGCGGACTGGTGGGTTGGTCTCTGACGTCTGCTGTCGCAGGATGGGGCAGGCAAAGATGGAATGGTAGCGGTGGTTCTCGCCAAGATCAACCTCAATCTAAAACGATGACAAAAATATCTTTAAAAAAGGCCATTCTAAAAACTAACTGTCACGGTACAACAAGAACACAGACTGGAAGAGGCTATTGGTTTTTCACCCATTCCAACGGGATTGGATTTACACAATTAACTTAATTTACAACAGAGTGAAAAAGCCCATGACAATCTGATGCACTGATGTCACTGACTGTGTAAATCCCATTGGAATGGGTGAAAAGCCCACAGCCTTTTACAATCTGTTAGATCTCTGGTTTGCATGAACAGATTTCCATGGCATTTTCACTGATTATACACAAGAGTGTAATTAATATGCTCCATCGAAATGAAATACTCATTTTAAGTACTTTTTGAGAAATTAAAGGGAATGTACAACATTTGCTTTTGCTGCAATTTTCAGAAATAAATAAATTTGGAGGATCAATAACATAGCAAATATTGTTAGCATGACTTATTTCACGTTTTGGGCTTGTAGATGCTGGAAAAACCAAGAAAACCAATCAAGTTCTTATAGTCTGGTTCCCTGACCCCACTTCAGATGAAACAGAGCAATTTATAGACTTTAGGGAATTGTAAGGTCAGAGAATCAGTCTAGCAGGCTTGTACCCTTTCACAGGTGTGTAATCAATTGCAAAGAAAATGTGGAATAACTAATTATGAAAAATTAGGAGCAGTGTTTGAAAAAAGCCAGTTTTCTCCAACCCTGGTCGGCCGACCAGCGTTGGAAAAATACAATCTTGTTTGAAAATGTCAGCATACCAGGAGCCACGATTTTACAGGATGCTTTAGACTGTCATTTCCTAGCAATCCAGTAAGGTATTTCGTGATAATTTGATCATTTCATTTTGTGATGTTTGCAAATGTTGTATCTTCCCTTTAAGGGATATCTGCTTGTGCAACTTTTTGGGGGGATACCCTGTATCTTATAAACTACAACTTACCGGAAGTTCATCCTTTGCGTTCCACACTACTTGGCACTGCCTCTGCTGCATTACTTGTCTGATGTTAAGTAGGGCTGGCAGAGCAGCGCAGCCAGCTGATATACTGTATGGAATCAAGGAATAATACTGGCAACAGTTACCAAGCGTTGGCGGTCAAGAATCGCAATACAAACTACAACACATTCAGCAAACCTTCTTCATTGTCTTCATCCGATAATTCCCCCTAAATAACCGAATTATTCATTATTCCCTCAAGCACACCAGCTACAGAGAGCCTACCTTTGAAATTAGCACCTGCTATTGAAAAAGTGGGAAAATGCACAATTTTGAACAAAAACTTGACAGGTTTATCAACAAATGTGACGGATTTATCATTGTATAACGTTGCTGTTATCTTAAAAGTGATCAGTTGACGTGTTTTTGCGAGGGGGTTCATTATACAGTCGGGTTTCAAAATGCATATTCATATTGTACAAATTTATATGATCGACGGATAAAGGGTTACGCACTTATGCACTAATGCAAATTTGGGTAAGTGGAGATACGCAACAAGTTTTGTTCATACTCAGCACGAAAAATGAACACAAATGGGAATTTGTGTTGAAGCTGCAAATTCGTAAAAATTTTAAAGTTTCCAACTCGAGCGAATTTTACAGTGAATATTTCACGTCATCGTATTCGCTTCGCATTCGCATTAAGGTTTAAAGCTATAGTCCATCATTTGTAATTTGTGCATTTTGTTCGTTTGAAGCAACAAAAGAGTTCAAAATCTAATAAAGGATACTAAGCAACTAACCTGATAAACTTTCAGCTAAGCTTCAGCTGTACATTCCGAGAAAAACAGCATTCTAAGATCTCAATTTCAAATCAAAAGTTACTGAATCATGTTTTGAATTGCAGCTATACGCGACGTCGCGCACTGATATCCGACGAATTATAACAACCGCGCGCGCGTGTGCGTCGTTCCAATACTTGCGCGCGCTGCGCTGAATAACAAAACGAACTACTAATTTAAATTTTCCTACGGTACTTCTTAAGAATCACCGTTGGAAATACCTTCTTTCGTTGATTACTTCAAAATGACAGCTTCCCAGAAAGAATAATTTCACAGGGAGTTTAGTTCCCTTACTATCTTTCCACTAAATTTGTTTTTCAACAATAATTACGCCAGTTACTTTTCGGATGGCTGCAAATGATGGACTATAGCTTTAAGTATGAACCGGCCTTGAGGTGGTCGTGTACTGTTCCAAGGATTCCAAGTTTTGTTTCTAGAACCCATCCTTTTACCTGACTGTCAGAGGGCTTTCCACCGACAGACCCAGCAGGGCACAGGCATCCTGGGTGAAGACGTCACAGATGTCATCCCAGTGGATGGGATCTAGGAGATGAGAGTAAGGCGTGTGCTCCAGGCCTTGACGGATGAATAGGAGGCTGCCCATCAACACCTGAAGCTCTGAAGACGACGGAAAGACAGAACAAGTATTAGCTCTCATTAGTCTGAATTAGAGGTGCAAGGATACAAATGTTCACCATAGGATATGATGCAATACCCACAAGGCACCCAAACACCACTCTAGTTAAAAGCTTGTGTAGTCTGATCCGGTCTTGTCCGGTCTGTTCCGGTTATTTTGATCTGGTCTGGTCTGAACTGCTCTAGTCTGGTTTGGTCTAGTCTGGTCATGTCTGTATGGTCTGGTCTGTTCTGTTTTAAAGTGTTCTAGTCTGGTTTAGTCTAGCCTGGTCTTTTTTTTTTCAGGTCTAGTTTGGTCTAGTGTGGCCTAGTTCAGTCTGTCTGGTCAATTTGGTTTGGTCTGGTCTATTCTAAACTGTTCTAGTCTGGTTTGTTCTGGTCTGGTCTGGTCTGGTGAAGTCTCCTTGGGTCTGGCCTACTCTGGTTTAGTTTGTTCTTGTCTGGTTTGGTCCAGTCTGGTCTGGACGGGTCTAGTCTGGTCTAGTTTGGTTCCCTCTCGTCTAATCTGATCTGGTCCTATTTGGTTTGGTCTGGTCTGGTCTGATCTGCTTTTGTCTAAAAATAAAAAGCAGCCAGTGTGGCTAAATCATGTCTGATCTGGTATAGTCTGGTCAAGCATCCAAACCAATACTTATCCAATCCAAACCAATATTTAAATGTTCTTCCTGTCCTTCATGTGAAACCAACCTTTTGCATGGCCCTCGGCAAACGAGGAGAAGTTTCTTGCAAATGTCAGCGCCTCCTGTTGTTTGGCCCCTCCGTGGCTAATCAGCTCAATGAAGCGTAACCGGTGCAGCTTGAACTCTAACGAGCTATTCTGAGCTTGAAGCTGCTCCCTGTGTCTGGCTGCCCAACTGAGAACAATCAACGAGGAAAGACAATATTGAAGAAAAAAAATGTTTAACTGGAAAGCAAATGAAATATTCTCAACCTCCCCCCTCCATATTGAAAATAATTAACTTCACTCTAAATGTATCAGAAATGACTATTGTGGCCCTTTCTTTAAACACCCTCAAGGGTATTTTGGCTAGAAACCCTGCCAAACGCAGCAACATGCAACACTTGTCTAAGTGACAAGCCTGCCCAGTGCAGCAAGATCCATCAGGCAAAAAGTCTCAAGGCCAAACTGCATCAGAGTCTGTGGTCCCCGAACGCAGCAGGATACAACTGTGGCACTGTGCTATGGGACTAGCTCGCATTGTCTCAAAAGTGGCCGTTTATGCACTGGTGTTGACAGCTGAATGCATCAAAGTGCACCAGACTTTTCCACCTGATGCACTGTGTTGCGTCTGGCAGGGTTAGGTTAACCCTAACCCTCAAGGGTCAGTTTCTACATCTAAAAGTAGTATGCATAGCGCAACCTAACATGGTATCTGTACTGTGCTTGAAAGTTCAAGATCTCGCCTGCATACTTACGCCATTGCTGGCCGAAGATCCTTCCGTTTCAGGGCCTCCAGGATCTGATTAATTTCAATGAAGGGCTCCTTGGCCGAGTCTAACATGTCTAGATCAGCCTCCTGATTGATAAAGAAAGAAGAAGTATCAATTATCCACGGTTAATTTTTGTTTCATTTGAAGCAACAAATTGCTTTGTGTCTAGCAACTGGATTCCGTTGCTAGTGCACGTAGAAAAGTGTGTACCCCATTTTGAAACCCCATTCAATAATTGTTTTCTTCAAAACGATTTTAGGCAGAATAATTTATTATTATCACATTCTAAAAATCTACAATTGGAAACACGTGGTCTCTAAAATACATCAGTATAAATAATGTGAATGTGTATTTGCACTATTTATTCGTACCTCTGTCAGATTTTCTGCTATATCAAGCATACCCTGCCGTAAGAAGTGTTCACAGATGACCTCATTGAGAAGCCGCATTCTCTCCGGTGACTCAAACGTCTGTTCAGAGTTCAGCTGGATCAGCTCACTGGCGAAATTCTGCCGAGAAGACATCAGAGTATGAATGGTCAAGTATAATAATTTGGGAGGCTAATCATCCTTACTCGCAGCTGGTATGCTGAATTGCGAAGGACGCGGCTACAATGTGGTCGGGCCGCTGGCACGTAAAGGCGCCTATGGCTGCTGGTCACATCGACCCATAATATGACCACGGAGCACAGCCTGAGATCGAAAGTGTTTAATTTTTCCGGAGGGAGGAAAACCGGAGGGCCCGGAGAAAAACCCTCGTGGCACAGGAGACAACCAACGCACAACTCTACTCACATGCGATCTGCGGCCAGGATTCGAACCGTGGTCACCTTGGTGAGAGGCGAGCGCTTTATGCACAAGCCACCCATGCCACTCAAAGTATCAGCGACTATTTAACTTTATGTCATAACACAGAACCTTTTTTTCAGGTTTTGGTCTGATCAGAATTTGATGTGAATCAAAACACAAAGTCGTTTTGTTTCTGCTCGGTTTGGACCACTTGGTTTGTTAACACTGGGCATTCTTGATGGGCACTGACCGCGGTTCAAGCATTTCCCTTAAAACTTGAATCAGGCCGTTCTGCATTTCTAAAACCACAAATGCCCATGGAAAGCCCTATAAAAAAAATATGTCAACTAATCTGAACCCACACAAGCTGAAATTCCTTGCTAACTTGTGAAACACACTTACTACCAACAGCACCAGTTTTTTCTGATAGGGTGAACAGAGATTCTTTGCTTACAATAGCAGACCCGCAAGCCTCTGTGGTTAACAGAGCCATGAAATTGAGCCCAAGTGAAAGTCAGTGTACAGGGTGAGTAAAAAAAAAACGAAACCCAAATGTTGGGACCATTGTTTTAGTGAAGTTCTGCATGTAGTACTTTCAAAATCTAGGCTATGAAAGCCCAAATCATAAGCTTTCTTTTAGTACAAAATCATTGAAATCACTCATGTACTTTTAAAGTTACAGAATTTTAGACACAACCACAGTTTTAAGGTTCTGTCCACTGATCACAAAAAGTTCAGTGTTCTTTCAGCAAAACGACAACAAATCACATAAGGATGTGTGTGAATTGTTTTCGTTTTGCACCTTTTTTTGTGATCCGTGGACAGAACTTTAAAACGGTGGTTGTGTTTAAAATTCCGCAACTTGAAAAGTACATAAGTGATTTGAATGAATCTTGTACTAAAAGAAAGCTTATGAATCTGGCTTTCATGTCCTAGATTTTGAAAGTGCTAAATACAGAAATTCAACAAAACAATAGTCCTGACATTTGGGTTTCGTTTTTTGTTACTCACCCTGTAGATTCCAAATTCAGGCAACAAAACCTTTCGTTTAGCTTGCATTGCCGTGTGGCTCTAAATGCCGAGTCCCAGTAAGTCAGACATGTATACATGTACATTTATGGGGTTAACAGAGACCACACCTGTACATGTACATGTACACTGACCTTATCAATGGCCTTGCCCACTTTGGAGACGCTGCTGTGGATGTCCTTGTGCTCATTGCTGACTCGGGTCAGTATGTCTTTGGTTCTGTTCTGGGCGGAGCTGAGAATCAGCTGATGCACTCTGTTCAACTCAGTGTGCGGCTCCGCTGCAAAATAAAAATATAATTACTAAAAATAATGTGTGTTTAACCCAACTGAAAACTTCCAATTCAGCGAAGTTGGAAGGTTGAAGTTTGGAAGTGTGACTTTTGAAACATTACATCAGCTCATATCTAATGGGTGCTGTTTGAGCTGGTATAGGCCAAACGTTATATATAAAAGAAGTCTTTACAGTTCTATGAACTTTCCCTCATATTTTCTGCCCTTGTACTGGCACTTTTGACCAATACTGAATGACAGGCAACAGCCGTACTGAGGCACTCTGCCAAAATTTGATGCAAGCTAGTGTGGGCGCGATTATCACAACCCATGCATGCCATGACGCCATTGCAGCATGACGCTTTTGTGAACAATGGCAGCTGCAGAAATTCATCAGAATTCAACCCGAAATTACAAGATAACTAGACATCTGAAGGTAATAAATTCAACGGTTTTCTTTGCTAATGCTATTTAGCAGTTTACTTGTAGACAGGATTGTGTGATTATAAAGTGACAATATTAAAGTCCGATCTTAGTTTGATTTTCTGCTTCTCTACTAGCAATCGGACCTTCCTCGCACAGGGCATATAGCATTTTGTGGCTGACATACAGAGGTAGTCCAGCATTTCAGCCACATTTGTGGGGCTAGTAAAAACTCAATTATAACTGTTACTTACAATGCCACCCCCCCCCCCCCCCCCCCCCCCCCCGGCCCCATAAAAAATATAAACAAAATAAAAAACAGGCCCTAAATATATTTATATAGGCCTAGCTAGGCCTAGGCCTTAGGGTCTATTCCTGGGATAATTTTCATAAGGATATTTCCCCACCAATTATTACCAAAAGTTAAAGTTCACCCATGTTTTCCCTCGATCGTCAAAACAAGAACCCCATCCTCTTCGACCACCGCACCCAATCATGCCTATTTATCACGAATTGCGTTCAACTAAGTATCACCGAACTTGCAATTGCATTTTAGAAATTGAATTTCTAAAATGATTCTCACCACTCGACAACTCCTGTCTTATGTTACTCAAGCTTTCGATCAGTTCCTCTAAAGTACGAGCGGAATGAGCTTTGATTCCATCAAATTTCCCAAGAACTTTGTCGACTTCCTTTTGCACACTCAGGCAGGCGTCCATGTTGAAGATTTCCTTCTTTGTTTACCGCATCATATGAAACGTACGTGACTTCCGGTAAAACTACATTCCAGAGATTTTTAATAGCGCCCTCTATATTATAACTTAAATTCCTGACTATTTTTCGCGGGGGGGGGGGGGGGGGGTTTGTAACTCCCGAGACAAAAACGTTGAAAACTTTTCCCGTACAAATTCCGCTTTTCCGCTTTATAAATTTCTCTATACAGGCTTGCACATAATTGCCACTCTTTCATGTATTTCCCCTCTCCGTACTAAATGGGAAAAGGCCAAAAAAAAAAGGGGGAAAAAGGGGGAAATTCAGCGATTTCAGGGCCCTGTGCTGTTTAAAAAAGTTTTTTTTCTTCTAACGAATTTTCATTTTGTATGCTTAGTTTTAATGAAAAAATATATTCCGATTGTGGGCGTCTGCAACCCTCTGTAAAAGTGCTTTTATTTTGCACACAAATGAATCCACCCTGCGTATGGGGCGCCGTTTGTCAAATAATTTTATTTAGCCAATTTTAAGCGAGAGCCCAATTATTGTCTGGCAGCAAATAATTATATTTTTGGGAAGAAATAATTCAATAACTAAACGACGGTGGATTTTATTCGCTCGATGTCTTTATATTCAAAAGTACCTAACTTTTATTTTGCTAGGAATAGAGCAATTGAAAAAAACAACAACTCTATTTTCCGGAGGTGAAACTCAAAACTAGCACGGGGAACGATTTTTAAATAAAACACGATCCTTACCCGAAAATAAATCATCTTTTGATTTTATTCCCTGGCCTTAAACAAACATCTTTGCTAATAAAGATTGACTGCTTTTATTGCCATTATATTCGCAAGTCGAGACTTTCGGTTGGCCACACAACCGAACAAATCAGAAATTAAATGATAGTCTATATACGCTACCTGTGACGTACGTCATACCAATTATGGGGCAACGCGACATACAGGCAACTCAAACAGGCACCTTTTTACATGTTATTTTGGAACGAATGTTGCATCCTAACGCCACTTTTTTTCATCATTATTATCTCAATGAAGGTCAGCCATAGCAGAAATGTTTTTTGACATAAAGAATTTCAAATTTTGTTAGAAAATACTTTCAAAATGCACCTTTTACATGGTATTTTGGAAAGAATGTTGCATCCTAACGCCACTGTTTTTCATCATTATTATTTTATCAATGAAGGTCAGTCATTGCAGAAATATTTATTGACAAAGAATTTCAAATTTTGTTAGAAAACCCTTTGAAAATGCACTGGACTGCGACACCAATCACATTTCAAGGGATACACATGAAGTGCAGATGTGATCAAGTTCGTAAAAGTTGGCATCAGGAAAGTGATGACTACACCATTCAATTTGTAAACAAATGTAAACACGATCTATACTCCGCATAAGCTTCTTTTTTTCATATATTTTATTGCAAATATCAGAAATTACATCAGATATCATATGTTTTCTTTAACATAAAAAGAAGTAAAGTCGATTGAAAACACAGGGTACACAAACTGGAACATAAAATATGGGTGAAATTGTTTTTGTTTTTTTGGTCACATTTTGCTCAGAATGTGTCACATATTGGATCAAATATCAAGATTTTTAAGGTTGTGTTAAAACACCCTCATAAAATACTCCCGATATCCATGGTTGCTAAAAAAAACTTAAATCATGTTCAGAAGCTCACAATATACTGCACAATAAAACCGAACTCATGCTGAAATATGTCTAATTTGCACATCTAATCACATATAAAAATATACCATCAACCAAGATTTTTTGCATAACGACCGAATTTTAAAATGTTAAAAAGACAAGTAAAGTTTTATAACATTAATTATGCATTGATAGTTTGTACTTAATACACAATGAACATAATTATTAAGAAGAATTAGTCACACTAAAATATACAAATTCAGGTTAAAAGTATTAGTATTTCATGAAACTATCTATAATAATTCAGAAGGTGTTGCACCATGGTACACATCTTTCATCCCCCTTCCCATACTCTCAACCCCCCTTCCCATACTGCCACCAACCCCTTTATCTGACAAAGAAAAATCCTCAAATCATGGAAAAGAAAAACCTTAAATGTTTGAAAATGTCCTCAGAGGTATGAGACCAACGAGGCGAGAAACATTCTTGTCCTCAACTGTTCAAGGTTAAGTTTTGTCTTTTCATAAGGCCCTGCTGAATCTTAATAATCTTTAATACTTCAGTGTTATTTATGAGTCTCAGAAATCTCACATTTCTGATACCACATGTATACTACAACAGATATCTAAAACTGCTTGTTCTCGTCTTCTCAAACCACATTTTATTTTTATTCTATTCATAAGATTGAATCTTATTGTAGTATTTTTGTATGAAATGATACCTCCTTTTTTCTTTTAAAATAAGCCAACTTGGGTTAGAATTAGGACCATCAATACTAAGACTGTAAAAGAAATTTACTGTTTTATCTACGATTAAAACCAATTGTCATAGAATATAAAAAATATGTTTATTCCCTTGATGGAAGATAAAATTTAACTATGCTGGAAGCATAGAATTTCAGCGTAAAGCCAAGACCATAATTACAAGTTTGACTGAAATTAATTTAAAAATAAAAGCTATATTGTGATGTTGTTTTCAACGTCAGAATAATATAGTTTTTTTTTAAAAAACATAGTTAAAACTAGTTTTCTCCTCAGAGGACAAATTCAGATGGATAGTTATTTCAGTGCTCAGTATTTCAACAACAAATATAACCCGATTTTGCTGATTTGACTGATTATCACTGATTTTACTAATTAACAAACCACATTTTGTAGAATTAGCTGATTGCCAATTTTGACAAGTTTCATCTCCATGTACATTAACCTAAATCTGTTCCGAACAATAATTTTGTTACAATTTCTATAAACAATGATCTCCGCACTCACTCACAGTTTTGACTGCTTCAAGAGATACACTCAAACAAAAATAGAAGGCATTATGGATAACCAACTGACATGCAGGTCGCACATGTTCTTGAAGTTGAGCTGTGCGCACATCCTGAGAACCCTATTGGTCACAGGAGTGCTGAATTTTGCAAGAGTGTGCTGCTATCGCAGTAATGGTTTCTATAAACTGAATTCACCGGATCAGTCTGTAGAAAAACAAGCCCAGCCAGTGTCAACCAGAAAATTGCAAAGATTTGTTTTTAAGGATCCCTCCATTTAGAGCTAACGGCAGGAACCAGTGATATACTTGACAATCAAATTTCCCTTGCGTTTTAGCAAAATCAGGCAGGAAGAAATTAGCAGACTAGAATATCTTACAAGACTGAATGGAGTGATTTTATCAAAACTAGAAATTATGTCTATATTGGTCCGTTATTGGTAGGGTAGATCATTTGTCATTTGTGCATTTTTTTCCCCCGTTTGAAACAACAGCAGTGCTCAAAATCTCAAGACGGGTGCTTAATAACTAACCTGATGAAATTTTAGCTCAGTGAATGCTGTAGATTCTGAAAAAAAACCCACAATATTCTCAGATATCTGTTTCAATTCAAAAGTTGCCGAGTCATGTTTTGAATTGCGCCCAAAATCAGTGTCGTGGACAAGTTCTCAATCAGCCAGTTGTAGCTACCCAGTGTCACGCACTGAAATGCCGAATTAAAGCAACCCTGCACGCGCCGCGTCAATGCTGGCGCGCACCCGTTCACAGATTCGCCGAATTGCAAACCAACTACTCACGGAAATTTCCAAAAATGCGTCAAGTGGAAAAGGCCTTCTTTGATTGTTTTCTTCAAAATGACAGCATGCCGGAAAGAATAATTTCACAGGGAGTTTAGTGCCATTACTATCTTTAAACCAAGTAAGGTTTGCAAGAACGATCTCGTCAGTTACTTTTTGGATAGCTGCAAATGATCTACTCTACCTTAAAGTTACACAATGCAAGGTAAATTTGACTGGAATTATAAAAACACGGAGGAAAAATGTGGGCAGCAGGGTACCTTAGGAGCCTAGTCTGGCTGCCACGGCAGCAACTAGAGCCGCACCCTTCCCACTCCCGTCCTCCGACAGCATCAGCTTGACGGTGACGCCCGGCACGAGCTCCTTCAGCGTCTTCTCCATGTTGCTCTTGAACGTCGGGTGCTTCTTGTACAGCGAGCCGTCCACTGCGATGGTCAGTTCCGCCGCACCGATCTTCTTGACCACAGCGCTCAGGCCGGCCACGGAGAGCCGGGCCGCACGAGTGGACACGGCCGCGCAGACGCGCCGGATGACGGGCAGGTCCGAAGGGGACGGGGTCACCCCCAAGCTCTTCAGGATGGTGTTACACTCGGCGTTGTTATCGGACGTGTCACTGCAGGAAAAGTAATTGAAATCATGCTTGTTAACCTTCAACAGTCCTGAATCTTCCAATTTTTATATGATTTTTCACACAACGTAGGGCCGACTAGAAAACTGCACCCTCTAAAGGGGCTAAGCCTACAAAGTTGACTCTCACTAATACAAACTCTGTCACAACAAAATCCTGCAGAGTGAGCACAAAGCCTGTTTTTTTAAAGGAAAATTGCCCCAAGGAAGGCTATAAAAGCCACTCTTGGCAAAGGGCTAGAAAGAAGAATAATATGATCATATGTCGGGAGATTTTCGTTCCTTTCTACCTTTAGATGTTGAGAGGACGTCTTTTGGTTGGCATGTGAACCTGCTTACCTTTCAATGTCTGTCAGGAAGCGAGTTTCAAATTTCCAAGGAGTCTTGAGATCTGAAGAGACTTGACCTCCGAATAGATCGCCGTCAGTTGCCAGCTTCACCAGAATCAGCCGGACTATCTCGCCGAGGTACATCCCAGAAATCATCTTCTCGTAACTAGAGAGGGGGCAAAAAATAAAAGCTCAAATGTTATCAAAGATCCAAAGCCATTACACTGTTCTACAACACTGATAAAATGACACATGCCTAGTGGTAATCAAAATATTACAAATTAATTAACGGTTATGCTGCTAAACTAAAGCCGTGTACGCACTGGAACTTTTGGGAAGGTTTTACCGAGACGATGGTTAAATGAAAAATGGTCAAATGTAATCACTGTCTGTACTTTGACACGGGAAATTTCACCAGACCACATGGTAGAAGTATCTATGGGTTCATGCGGTCCCTGTGTACACGCATGACCTTGCGCTAGGGCCAGACGTACGCTTTCCTGAGCCACTTTTACCGAAACGCACTGTCCGCACTGGACTTATCGTCTCAGGAAAAGTGACCTGGTCAGTTTTCCTGGGCAGCAGTTGGCCAGTAGAAGTACCCGCTGGACTCAGGAAAAAAGTAACTGAGAGGAAAACGTCCCAGGCTGTCTGCGCTGGATTTAAAATGGGAAAAGTACCCATCGTCTCGGTAAGCTTTATAAAAAAAAAGTCCACTTCGCGCAAAACGCAGCTGGGCTGGTGTAGTGTGAATTTCGGACCATGAAATACTGATTCACTGGTAGTACAATTCGCATGCATGCGTGAGGAATATGAACGTTCAACCAATGAAATGTTAATTTGAGGCACCGGATTTCATGGGAGTCCAAATTTCATGTGACACTGGAAAAGTGTTTAAGACCAGCTAGCCATGTCTTTATCATCCATTTAAGACCGGCCACGTGACGGGCTCTCGACCAATAGGAATGCGTCTTAGGTACTTATGAATATTGATTATCATAAAGATCACCCTCTAGGCCCACTCACAGCTGTTTGCCTTTATTGAGGGTCACTTCATCCACTTCGTTGTCAAACTTGGTCCGGAACTTGTCCAGTGACTTGTCGGTGCCGAATGCTCCCCATTCCATGTTAATGATGACGTCCCTTGGTTCCCCGTCATCACCGGTCCACGTGTCCACATTGCTGAGCTTCTCCAAGTAACAAGCGTTGGTTCCCGTCCCTACATAAATGACATTAAAATCAGCCAGATGATTACAGACAAATGCGATGCGATCAAGCTAAATGAGTCGTTTGTCGACCCTGGTCAATTTTTTTTATTATTTTACAGACTTGAAAAGAGCACAATCTTAGAATTACTGCTGTGAAAACTATGGAAGTTGGAACACCAAGAAATGTGATGAATTGATGTGAAGTGGTCCTATTGTGGCCTGAATCTCCAAATGAAAATTCCCGACAAACGACTCATGTAGCCTGATCGCATCACATATGGAGAGAACATTGAGCATCCTCAGTTACCGTAAATAACAGCTCAACTCTAATGAACCATGCCCATGACATACTATATTTCAACCGTGCTTAATTATGTCTATGCATAAGGCAATGAATTTTGATTTCATGTAGTCAAAATTCTGACTTCTGGTCAAAATGCCGAATGTCGGCTAAAATGCAATGGTTCAGTGGTTACAGTGCTTGACTCGGGTACGATGGTGCGCTAGTTTGAACCCTGCAAGGCACATAGCGTTCGTGCCCTTGGGCAAGACACTTAACTACAATTGCCTCTCTCCACCCAGGAGTATGAACAGGTACATGTAAGGGTCGAGGACCGAATGTGCGCTGATATCGGCTGCCGCGTGGTCTTGTGGCCTGATGAACGGGGAATAATTGTAAAGCGTTTTGAGATTGTTGATACGATGGAAAGTGATAAGCATTACAATGTATTTATTTATTTATTTATTTATAATCTCAATCTTGGCCCTGTGCTGTATTCTGTAAACAAATGTAGCTACTGACAACAAGCAATGCAACAAACCTTGGTTCTGAATGGAGTACCGAAGTGAATACGTCACGCGCACAAAATGTGTGTGAAAGACATCAGCGCGTGATTCAACCCGTGAACCAACACGCGCGCGTACTCCATTAGTTTGCACTACACTTTCTGGTTCTAAATGACGTCACACTTCGAGAGTCCATAGTTGACAAGACTTGTCATAGCTTCACAAACTATCACGACCTCAACAAAAGTTAGTCCGACTTTCTCAAACATCAAAATATATGAATTGAATACATTCTGTACTCACCTAAGATGAGCCCAATGTAGGTATCGCTGCACGAGTAGGCACAGGACATCAGTGTTCCTACAGTGTCGTTGACTAATGCTACAATTTGTAAAGCCACTTTCTATTCAAAAAAGAAAAAGAAAAAATCTATTTGAAAGAAAACACAGATATTCCATTTTTAGATGTCACAGTACTTCTACGGATATATGAATAATGGCCAACTTTGCCACTTATAACTGACTACAAGCAAGTTTGGGAGTCATTGCATAACTCGGCGAAAAAATCAGGGGAATACATTTCAAATGTTATTTCATGTAGGTTTTTTTTTCAATTAAATTATTTTCAACATTTCTGAAAGTGCACTGATGTAATACCAACATCCCTACAGCAATACTGTATTGAAGTGCAACGTCAGCCCTGCACCCAATTTCACGACATTCATCGTAAGTTACGGTGCTATTATAAGATGGAATTTTGCGTCGGGGTGATATAAATCAAATTAGGTTTTGCCCTTCACCAACGTTTGAACACTGTATACTCAGTGTGTTACCTCCCGAGTGAAAGTTGGAAAAAATCACTCGGGTGGGACTCGAACCCACGACCTCCTGCTTTCTAGTGCAAAAATTCCATCTTATAATAGTTTATGCGGTGCCTGCTGCTATGTACATTAGATTTGAACCGACCAACCGATCCCGTTAGCTCGGTGGTCTAGTGGTAAGACATCTGCACTAGAAAGCAAGAGGTCGTGGGTTCGAGTCCCACCCGAGTGATTTTTTTTTCAACTTTCACTCGGGAGGTAACACACTGAGTATACAGTGTTCAAACGTCGGTGAAGGGCAAAACCTAATTTAACTTACGATGCATCGCGGCGCTGCGACGCATCGTATCTGTAGAGTCTGGACTTTCCTTTTTTGCGGTGTTTTCAATGCAGTACAGGTGGTAATAGGTCTTCTTTATTGGTGAGTCATTGGTTTGTCTTCGACCAAATTTCGATTGAAAACCCGGCTAATTCTCTCACCTTTCTCGCACAAGCCTCCTTGAGCAACACCACCACGTCTTTCCCTTCGACTCCCGAGGCCGAGAAGCCTTTGGTCCACTGAACCAGTTCAGCTGCCAAAAGACCAAAGAAATGAGATGAAATGGTTAGTTTCATTGGAATATTCTTAATTCCCTACCAGAGAAACAGCCAAACAAATGGCATTTCATGATACACTAATAATACTCAATACAACTTGGAATAAAATACTCATTTCACAAAAATTCCTGGTATCTTCCCCCAATATTTTGTTAAGACTGCCCTTTTCCATTCAAATGCCCTTTTTTCACCAGCGCTAATTACCCCCCCCCAAAAAAAATATTGTGTAAAAAGTGATTTTTTTTTTTAACAAGTACCCTCTTTTCTGAACAAGTTCCCATTTTAAAAAGAAGTCGTGCCCTTTTCTGTCCCATCTGCCGTTCCGGGTGCCTGTAATTTCGCGCATGTATTGCCCTGAAAAGCACCATATACTGTCCATTAGTGTACACAATCGTCGGTTTTGAACAGCTCACCCATCGACAGATGGTACCAGCCCCCCACCTCCCACGGATGTGCAAGTGCCCTTTTCAAGAAATGTTTACCCCCCCCCCAATAAAAATGGCTGTGCTACACCACTCTGTTGGGTGGACACCGCCTACTGTGCAAGAACGGAAGCTGATAATTTCACAGGGTATTTGGTACCACTCCCATCTTCACTATGAGCAACGATTTTCTTGGCAAGTCGGTACATCTCCAGGTAATTGCAAATGTCCTCACGTGCCTTTCAACAACTCACCAGGGAAAATTAAGAAATAAGAAAGTGGGGAGCTCCAAATGCTTTAAATCTTCAGAAGGCTGCCTCCCATAAATTGAAAATGGAAAAGCCAAAGTGTTAAGACAAACTTCTCTGGAGACTGCTTTTTTGCAAGGTAATTCCTTGATTTGCATAAAACATGAACTTTGACCTTACCTGAGGCTAGTCCATTCTGTTTGCAGGGGAAGGAGAAGGTGAACCCGAGGGGCAGATCCACATCACTGAGTCCCTGCTCATTCTTAAATTCAGCCAGACTATCGGCAATGTAGTCAAATAACTAACAAAAGAGAACAAGAAATAAAACGTTTATTGTCAATATTAAAAAAATTTAAAAAAAGTCGAATCAATGAGATTTTATTTGAAAAAGAAATCAAACGAAAAATATCAGGTTGGTGAGTGACCCATTTTTCACCGACACAGGAAAAACTGATTAGCATTATAAATGTATGCAATTTGCAGAACAGGTAGAGATAAATATAAGTCCTATAATTTATAACAACGAAATTAAGTAACAGCTGGCAAAACTAAGAAAAGACTTTATAGATATTTTGTTTAGTAGTTTCAGTGGTGCAACTCCATGGTAAATGTGTGCGCACAAATGTGCAATATTATAAAATATTACTAAATTTATCAAAACAACCTACCACCCCCCCAAAAAAAACCCCCAAAACAAACAAAAAACAAACAAAAGGAACTAGATGACAATACCAAATAGTGTTTAAATGAAATCAAACAAAAATGGATATAGTCTGTCAAATTTTGAATTAGTAAAAGATTGTTTTGAGTTAGTAAAAGAATTCTGAAACTGCATTCAACACCCCAAAAATTGATTGTACTCATTCATTTTATTTTGTGCAGTTTTTGTGTCTAATTCAGTTAAACATATTGAAACACTGCCCAACAACCCATCCGACCTTCTGCACGTTACAATACATATGGACCCTAACAATATAAAGAGCAAAGTTCAAGACCTGCGATACCGTTAGGCCACAGTCGCCACACTCTCTAACAAATTTGCCCACTACAAATATGCACACGCAACGTTACTATAAATGTATCACACAAAGTCCAGCATGAGGCCAGTATCAGTGTCTTTTCAATAACAACCAATGGTAGAGAAGGGACACTTTGTGGGGGTCATATTTGGCTAAGACAAAACTGTATGAAAACGGAAACCTTTTGAAAATCGCAGCTATTAAGAAGGAACTTTGTAAATTGAGCAATCTGTACAGTAAAAAATATTCTGAAGATTTGGATAGTTTAAAGGCAATACACAACATTTGCAAACATCGAAGAATAAAACTACCAAGTTTTTACGAAATACCTTACTAGGATGTTGGTAAATGACAGTCTAAAGCATCCTGTAAAATTATGGCACCCGGTGTGAAGTCATTTTCAAGAAAATGGTATTTTTGTATACATTTCCAATGGTGGTCGGCCAACTACCGTTGGAAAAACCTAACTATTTTTCAACTACTGCTCCAAATTTACCATTTTTTTAGTCCAAATTTTATTTGCTATTGTGTTCATGAACGGGTGCAGGCCAGCTACACTGGTTCCCTTACCTTACAATTTTCCAGCATCTATAAATTGATCCATGCTATCTTTAGTGGAGTCAGGGAACAAGACTACTTGAATATTTTTGTCTTTCTTGGTTTTTCAAACACTTTCTAACACAAAACTTCAAACATGTAAGTGTAAAAATATTTGATCTATTATACTAACCCCTCAAATAGTTCATTTCTGAAAATTACAGCAACAAGCCAATGATGTACATTCCCTTTAAGAAAAAGCTGTGTTACTTTTAAAAGGAACCCCACCCCCAAGGAAAAACAAAACAAAAAGGAAATTAAAAAGAAGAAGAACAAACAAAATACAAAAAACAAAACGCCAAAAGGTCTCGTCTGCATTACCTGTTCCCCAGTTCCTGTCATAGTCCCCTGTGAAATTTTATAAACTTTGCTTGTCATTTGAACATCGCCATCCAGCAGTTGAACTCGAAGGACTCGGAAGTTACTGCCGCCAAGGTCCAGGGCAAAGAAATCACCTTTCTCTGAAAAAATACATTCAAATATTCATGTATTGTAAAACCGACCACAACTTTGTCATAGACCATCAGCCCGGGGGTTTGGTCAGTATCAAATCAGGGCATAAATGATTATAATGAGCATGCGTAAGGTATACCGCCCCTAGAGAGGAAACAAGCATTTTGATGGACATTTTGAAAAAAAAAAGTGATAACACCCAAAAAGCTGCCATCGCTGCAAGCTATCACATATTTTCCAACTCTGGAAGTGTATACCCTACCAGAAATCGCTATGACGATTATTCCCCTCATTTGATACCGGTGGTCACAATTTTGGACCGAGGCTGATGGCCTATCATTTGATCCACACAAAACTAAATATTTAGGAAATTTTGGATAAATACAGTTTCAGGACGTTACTTGACCTTGGAAGACTCATTTTGCTAGAGAATTGTCCAAAACCTTGCACAAACCCTTCCAAGATCCTGAAAAAATTCAGCCGGTTTGGCATGATCTTCAAAAAAATTTGGAAGGTACATGGTGTAGATACTAGAAGCCCAAATTTTCTGGGATAATTCCCTTTGAAATTTCAACGGATGAGTTTCTTTTAGCGATACAATGAGTTCTTGCACCATGGTTGATTTTGGCTAATATATTTCTTGTGTAAACTGAATTTGGGCAAACAGTTTATGGGCTTTACTCACTGGTGCATTGGATGGAAAATATCACATATGAAAATAGTACCTGTGCCATCGGGTAAGGATCGAACAAAACTGGGAAACATCTTGACGACCGCTGAAGGGTTAGTGGCCCTGTTCAGTCCCCGGTCCATGTTCTGTCGCATGAGGTCAGAAATCTCCTCCAGGTCGGCCTTGGACAGAACCAGGCTCTGCAAGATACCATCAACCTACAAGTAGAAAATAATGAGTGTATGAATGTGAATCCCATTCTCTTACATATATACATGTAGTGTAAAAAGGGTTTTGAAATATGAATAAACCCTAACTCCCTAGGCCCATTTGCTAGGATGTAGCCTCAATCCTGCAAAATTCTCCAACTGGCCTCATAGAAAAATAGCATATAGCCTCAATCCTGCAACTTCCATCATTATTTCTTGAATATGGTCCGTGGAGGGGTGACCACTGCATGCCTGAATCCTGCAAAATCCTGTGGCAGTGACTGTCAATATGTTGAGGCTTGGCCAGTGACATACTGGAGCAGTACGGAGGATTACAAGCATAAACCAGGCCTATATTTATGCATGGCTGAGCAAAAACAACACAAGGTCCGGCCCAAAGAAAAGTGCATCCTACGAAATCAGTAACACACTTTTGCCATGTAGGCTAACCTCGATCCTCTAAATTCCTCCACTTTGGCAAAGAGGATTTTGAAGGATTCAGGGCAGTTAGGGTTTTATGATCAATATTTGATGGTTGGGAATGAAGCATGATTTTGGATGAAGGGGGCACATGTCTTCTTTGCCGTTGCCATCCCAATATGTCACCTGACCCTCACCCCAGTAATGACCTCCAACACCATGTACTGGTATTAACTTATCAGGTACAAGGCAACAGCCTTGTGAATACATCCCATTGAGTAAAATAAACTCATGAAGTGATAATCAGTTTAATGTAAAACATCTTGTTTTCAAGTACAAATGCATGTTTTGATTAACAGACGCATTCGGGAGAAATCACAAATGGAACTTCCCTTTGGAACAAATGTTCAAAATAAAATAACGCAAGAGAAATATATTGACATTTCAATTACTTATTTTTACTTTTTAAAAGGGGCAAATGGCACCCTTAGCTTTGCCATTAATGCCATTTACATTCCTCTGGATCACAAAAAGCCCAGGACCACATCACAGCAGACAACAACTGTTTAATGTTTAGCACACATTAAAGGGAATATACAACATTTGCAAACATCGAAAAATAAAACTACCAAGTTTTTATGAAATAGCTAGGATGTTGGTAAATGACAGTCTAAAGCATCCTGTAAAATTATGGCACCTGGTGTGAAGTCATTCTCCAGAAAACTGTATTTTTGTGTACATTTCCAACGGTGGTCGGCCGACCACCGTTGGAAAAACCTAACTATTTTTCAACTACTGCTCCAAATATACCTTTTTTTTCAGTCCAAATTTTGTTTGCTATTGGTTACATGTTCATGAACGGGTGCAGGCCAGCTAGACTGGTTCCCTTACCTTACAATTTTCTGGCATCTATAAATTGATCCATGCTATCTTTAGTGAAGTCAGGGAACGTGACTACTTCAACATTTTGGTTGTTCTTGTTTTTTTTCCAGCATTTTCGAACACAAAATTTCAAACATGTCAGTGTAACAATATTTGATCTATTATACTAACCCCTCAAATAGTTCTTTCTGAAAATTACAGCAAAAGCCAATGATGTACATTCTTTTTAATGAACATGTGTAACTCAGACACTGCCTTAATGGCAAGATTATGCATTAGGTGGCTCATGAATAATTAAGTGAATTCAGCATGGAGTTGATGTACATGTATAATTCATAACACAAATCAAATCTACTATCTGCACCAGAGGTGGTCATGATGCACACCAAATGATGCGTCCCTAATACAACGTTGTTGAGGAAAATGTCATACCTTCATGTGTGACCATAACATTATAATTTTAAAGCTATAGTCCATCATTTGCAGCCATCCAAAAAGTAACTGGCGTAATTACTGTTGAAAAACATACTTGGTTGAAAGATAGTAAGGGAACTAAACTCCATGTGAAATTATTCTTTCTGGCAAGCTGTCATTTTGAAGTAATCAACGAAAGAAGGCATTTCCAATGGTGATTCTTAAGAAGCACCGTAGGAAAATTTAAATTAGTAGTTCGTTTTGTTATTCAGCGCAGCGCGTACAAGTACTGGAACGACGCACACGCGCGCGCGGTTGTTAAAATTCGTCGGATCAGTGCGCGATGCCGCGTATAGCTGCAATTCAAAACAATTCAAAACATGATTCCGTAACTTTTGATTTGAAAATGAGATCTTAGAATGCTGCTTTTCTCGGAATGTACAGCTGAAGCTTAGCTGAAACTTCATCAGGTTAGTTGCTCAGTATCCCTTATTTGATTTTGAACACTTTTGTTGCTTCAAACGAACAAAATGCACTAATTACAAATGATGGACTATAGCTTTAAATGTACAAATGAATGTGCGTTTAAAATGTGTATTGAAATGAAAAACAAATCTACAAATCTCTTATTTCATTTTGTTAACGTGGATGGTATAATGGTGGTGGACGTCTGGACGATGTTCATAAAATTGTTTAAAATGACGTTCATGCAGATGGGTGTTTAGGTGTTGCTATGTAGACCAAGTGAGGCATGGGTTTGCATATAAATCTGTTGACTGCTAATTTGTCTGAAGTACATGTCAATCTAATATTTATTTAAGTGCGAACGACATGCCTCCCCTACCCGTGTTCAATGGGACCTGGTTTCCCTAAAGGTGGACTCGTGTTGATTTCCACACGGGTAGACGAAACGATTGTGTGCAAAGGCGTCAATCTAGACTTGAACATTATTGTCCCTGCCGCTTCGTGGATAATTCCCCCATGAAAATGAATGACAGTGATTCGACTGAAGGGAAACAAAATGACGACGCATATGATACTCGATGGGCAAGGAATATTTCAAACAAGAAAAAAGACCTCATTCTTAGTTGATTTGGGGCTGACTGTCTTTTCAGACTGGACAGGCTCGGGTGTTGCCTTCGTCCAGCGACCGCCGACGTTGACCCATTTTGGAGTCTGGATAAAACGGACAAAGAAGCATTACACGGTATTCCCCAACGACTAAGTTCGGAGAGGCAACTTTAATCTGGACCTATAATGACTGAAATTCCAAAACCAGTGGGGAATTTCTATAAAAAGGGTCACACAACATGGCATCTACATTTCCATGGTAACATCACAAAGGCAAACTGGTTTTAAAATGAATACATGTACACAGTACAAAAACCAACACAGAAATAACTAGAGGTGCGCGTTTGTTGTTACAAACGCAGAGTGGTCGGGCAGACATTTTTTTCAATAAACACTGCCGTGTTAAGTTATGAATATTTTTATGTAAGAACAAAGGATCACGAAATTAAATGCCTTTTTTCGTTGATTTCTTCAAAATGAGAGCTTGCCAGAAAGAATAATTTCACAGGGAGTTTAGTCCCCTTACCAGTATGTTTCAACCAGTATGTTTTTCAACAATAATTACGCCAGTTACTTTTTTGGATAGCTGCAAATGATGGACTCCGGCTTTAATAATACAATAGTATAGACCTTTCTACGCTCTGTTGGCAAACTGCACATTTTGCCAACCATGCGTTGCAAACTACGTATAAGGAAGGTCCAACACTGAAATGAATTACAGATCACCAAAATATTATTTGATAATTGGAAATACAACATTGTCAACAAACATACAACATAATTTCTGCACATGCCTTTTTACTGTGTCGTAATTTTGGACCCACTTTTTTGGGGCCCAATTTTGTCCCCCCCCCCCCCCCCCCCCCGCCAAAAAAAGGGGTTCTAGATCCGCCCTTGCTCGGAACCTGAACTACTTAACTTCTCTAACTGATGTGACGGGAATATAATCGACGATTATTTGCGCGTCGCTCGTACCTTAGAAGATCGGGAGTTGATGAATAGTTGTTACATATTAAAGGTGAATTCGATAACCCATGCAATCATACAAACTAACGTTGGGGGGGGGGGGGTCAGTCAAGTTCGTGCTTCAAGCGGCAGGGGGCCGGGCTATAGGTTCATAATAGCATCACTAGATAATGCCTGGACAAGAAAACCCATTTTTCCCCTTCTTTAAAAAATAAAATAAGACTATTTGTATAACATAAACTGATGCGTTGTCTGCTAAAAATGTGCGTGCTCTGGTAACTTCCAGCCATCTGGAAGCATATTCGGTAACGGAATATAGTCTAAACATTCCAGGGAAATTGATGCAACACAAACTCTGACATTTACTTTGAAGATTATTTAATGTCCCAATTGACACACGGCTAATTTGACTGATTCGCAGACAACCTTCTCACATTCGTTTTCGAAATTGCAAATTATTTTTTTTGGGATATTAATTTTTTTTTATCTCAACAAGTTTGAGCAATATAATACCACTTTAAAGGTATCGATTTGAAGTTATAAAACCTATAAATAATGACTGTTGTTTATTTCCGTCGTTACCGAGTGAAATGATGCAGCAGCATTATCGTACCAATTACAACTGCCATTATTTATAGCGTCTATAATGTAGTTTTGCTTACGTTTGAATTGATCATGTTCATAAATAAAAGGGCTTCTGAAATTACAATATGCCAACTGCTGTCACCGGGTAGAGACTATACCTACATTGTTGCAGTTCTCATTTAATTGACATGCCAGCAGAAATCGCAAAATCATGTAGACAAATACCACTTTCCAAGTTATTTAAAATTATCTATGAATTCCATAACTTATGGACTAACTGACTGACTGACTGGCTCCCCGACTCTCCAGCTGACTGGCTGACTGACACCCCATGCCAGGGCATCAAAAATTAAAAATTGTTTCATTTTTCCAATTTAAATTTTGTAGTACATTTGCACAATTTCAATTCAATCTGTTAATCGGCACTGACATGCACGCTTTCATGTGCATGTACTTTTCAATAGGAAAAGTTAACATTTAGGCCTACCTGTGTTGGAAAATGGACATTTCATGACGAAGTAATGCCTAATTTTCATAAAGTTGATGTCACAATTACTGCAAGACAGCATGTCATATTTTCAATGGGGAGCGCCAATAAAATCCTGAAATTATTCACACTATATTAACTAATGCACCCTTGTCACGGCTATTTCTTCTTTAGGGGGAGACTGTTCGCATGTACATAACAATCCTTCTTTTTGCTAATGCAATTATTTTTTTTACGGAATTTATTTTTGGGGGGGCTAGACCAATTTTTTTGGGGGGGAGGGGCTACAGCCCCCTAGCCCTCCCCCCCCCATAGAACCACGCCTGATTATTACCAGTTTTCAGGCGATTACAAAACACTTCGCCACAGACATCTATTCAAAATGCATTTTGGACATTCTTAAACATGCCACTAGTGGGCGGTTGAGAATTTCATGACGTCACCGGTACAAGTTTTGAAGAATATTGTATGGCAAGAGACTAACACCGTTGAAAGCAAGTTCATATCTTTTACCATTTTTAAATTACAAGGCACTTCCGGGTTCGACCGGTTTCGACCGGAAGAAAGGGTCGTATGATTTGACACCCACGAAGTAAATTGAAGACCCAGTATTATTCTATTGACTACCGTTAAAAACAAGTTCCGGTCTCTCACGGTTGATTTTATATCGATTTGTAATGATTAAAAAATAGAAACACTAAATTGCTTGTAATTTGATACCCGATGACGTCATCATGACGTCAGGACAATATACACTACTCGGGATCAGGGTCGATATGTGTTCGAAGTTACACGTTTATATCTTGAACGGTTTAGGAGTAAACCCGCGGAGAAGTATTGTCCGGAAAAAAAAAGAAAGAAAGAAAGAAAGATTAATCGGAACAATTCTAGACAGTGGTCGGTTTGTGCCCGACCACTCAATTACATGAAGTCGCGCCAAGGGACAGATTTCTAGAGACCAATTTTTAGACTATAAATGCAGCTAACAGTAACCCTACCTGTTAAGATGCTGAACAGCTTTAAAAATACAAACAACCCTCAAATCGAATCTCAATTACAACCAGAACTAACATTTTGAGTCTACAGATTTTTTGTTTAACGCGTAGGATTACGAGTATACCCGCAAAGGTTTTGCGGTATTCGGAATGGATGACGAATAAACATGCAGGGAGCGAGGCCGGAAATATCTGTCAGCGACCCGCTCGCAGCGAGCGAGGCCGGAATTCCCCAGAAATATGAGTGTGTTGCTGAGGTTGATGGGTTCAACCCGCCTGGCTTGAGGTTGAGTGAAAAGTAATCCCGCGCCTTGTTCCCTTCTTGTCAAAACATTCCCGGCGTGAACTGGTAAAAAAATTTGCCTGATGTTGTCCTGATTTGCCCAGGATTTTACACCGTACTGTGCTGGTACCCAGCAAAAGAATAAAACTTTTATGTACAAAAAACTAACATACCTTCATGTTTATGAACACTCTGTTCCTTATCCACCTCATAGTTCAATGGTCACTTGTTCAGAAATGATTTTTTTTCCCCAGACAGAACACCATACACATTGCTTGATGTAACAACTCTCTAACACAACTCACAAGTTCAGAACTGAAAATGTACTTATATACTGGCTGATGAAAGACAACACTCAAGCTGTTTGTCCATAAGTGTTAAATGTTGCTTGTCTTTTACAAATAATTATCTCAACTTGAGTTAATCTGTATCATCATTGCCTATTTTTATGCAGCATGGTCACTACTGGGCATTTTGTCTTGACAGTGTTTTCCCATGTTATCAATGTGACAACATCCTTGATGGCACTATGTCTGTGTTTAGACTTGGGATTATGGTATCCGTTTTACAAGGTAATAATGACATCTGATAGTGATAGCAGAGTATTAAATGTTCCGTATCGTCCAGTGTCCAGTGCAGTACGTGCAAGAAGGGTGTTAGGGCAAAAAAATGGTTCGAAAGGTCAAATTAAGGTAATTGACAGAGCATGGAAATATGTTTCATTTGATATATATTTTGTCTCAAGGGGCTACGACATTCTGACGTAATTAACAGTTAAGAAAAAGACGGAAGGTTTTTTTTCATTGTTTGTCCCCTGCAGAAGGACGGTAGCGACACACTAACTTAGCGTGTAATATGTTCCAAATGCGCTAACGTCCTACTGAAGTGAGTAGGTATTACAAGCCAAGTTTACTCGCGGCAAAAGGACATTATGATTTGACATGCCACTTAAGCGCACGTTTAAGGCGGGGGGAAGCTCCCGGTAAAAATTTGTTAGTATAAAAATGTGAATAACTTCAAATGAAGTATAGGCCTACTTAAAAATAAAACTTCACAATATTATTCCTATTATAAACAAATTTCATGAGTCAAAATTTCAGCCTTGTGTGATCTTTTATTTAGAAATGGGAGCACAAAACCTTTAACTGATTAACTCCAAAAGTGTTTTTGCATGCCTAGGCTGACGTCATTTAGTGAACTGTGTTCTCATTGGTTCCTTGCTCTATGGTGTGTCAGGAGGAGTGTCTCTTTCAAGTGAGGCCACATCTCCAAGCAGATATGAGTAAATTGGTTCAACTCAGACACAATAAACATGTTGTCCTATCAGGGATTACCATGGCTGGTTTACTGGCTGATTTAGTAAACTACTAGACTTGACACAATGAAGCAATTAACCTCCATTATGTTTGAGGTCAACCAAACAGGCCATGTGACAGGAAGGTGTGAATGACTTGATTGGCTGGCCAACAAAATCAAGACAGGAGGAGTGGCGAAGCTACTTCCAAAAGCAAATATTTTTAAACTTTCTTATGATATTTTTCATTCAAATTTACCAACTCTTACATTCAATTTCGTCCGATTAAAATTTCACACGCTTTTACCAAAAACCAATTTAGTCATTTCCATTCATGTTTCATTCAAATTCACAAACTCTTATCGGTACATTCCAATGCGTCCGATTAAAATTTCACATGCTTTTACCCAAACCAATTCAGTCATTTACCATTCAATTTCAAAGTTTGGTCAACCCTCTTTAAACACGGGGTTCGGCGGGTTGAAAGTATTCATCATTATAAATCAAATTTGTCTAAGCTGTTGCCGAGTGGCAGCATTCAGATATCCAATTTGTCTTATATCAACCAACTTAAATCTTGTGTGAAGTAAATTAGTCTGGTGTGTGCTTGAGCATTTTCCTTGTGTTCCCTAGCACAATTTGGCACATTCTCAAGCATGATTTTATCGGCCCAAGTCGAGTACTGAACAGTAAAACAAAAAGTATCCAGGTTTTCGTGCAAGAGTGGGGGGGGGGTGGGCAAATGACATCTGAACTATCTTAAAACCATTTTTAAAAATAATGGGTTTTTTGGTTTGTTTTATGACTCCATCAAAATGCTGTGGGGGGGGGGGGGAGAGGGAGAGAAAGTTTCCCCCTTCCCCTCCCCCAAGACACAGAGCACTAAGCAAGATTTAATAACTCTCCAAAACAACTCACAAGACCAGAACTGAGGTCAATGAAAAGAAAGAAATCAAACGGTTAGTCCAAAAAGTGTGAGGTGCTGGCCTTTTATAATTATAGATCATAACATGATTATCTCTACTGAGATAAACTGCATCATCATTGCCTGTTTGTTTTTTTAAGTGACATGGTCAGGTCATGTTTTTGTAATGGGAATTTTATCTGGGCAGTGTTTTTCCACCTTATCAGTGGGACAACATCCTTGATGGCACTATTTATGTCCGTGTTTAGAATTAGGATTACATTAGGATTACAATATCCTTGTTACAAGGTAATACTGCCATCTGATAGCAGGGGTAATGCACCATTATGTGGGTGTGTTTTAGTAGACTGTGTTGTCATTGGTTGGAGTGTCAGGGATGTAAGGAGGTGTGTCTCTTTCAAGTGAGGTCACATTTTTAAGCAAATATTAGCAAGTTGGTTTAAATCACGACACATGGAAATCAGTCCCTGTGTTCATTTATTATAAGCTGTGCGTGCGTGGGACTGAACGTGTCCTCAATTGCCGATTCTTTTCAAAAAAGGCAAAATAAACTGAAGAACTGTCAATAAACAAGAGTCCAAAAGATACAGACTGTAGAAAACTGTGAAGGAATTGTGTCCCCATTGGAACTCGGGCACTGTAACGGTTTGCTACAAACTTATAAGTTTGATACTCACCACAAATTGTCCCTTCAGAAATAACTTGAAATAGTTATTTTAGAAATGATTTTAGAGGGCCAGTGTCACATGGGTAGGTTACAGAAGATAAAGAGCAGAAAGTGTAAAAAAAAAATATGTATGTTTATGGAAATCCTCACAAACTCACAATTTTGAGAGATTTCTTATTACCGACCGTAAACCTTTACCTTATTGCTACCTTCACCTGGCAAACCTTAGAATCTTATCAAACTCAGACACCATAAACAGATTATCCTATCTGGGATTACTACTGGTGTGACTGGTGGTAGATTGGTAGGTAGACATGACACCATAAAGCAATTACCCTCCATTGTGTTTGAGGTCAACCAAACAGGCCACATGATAAGGTGTGAATGACTTGACTGGTTGGCCAACAAAATTTAGACTGGAGTAGCCTTGAAGCCATATCCAAGAGCAACTAATTATTGTTAAACTTTTTCTTATGATAATTTTATGTAATTACGTTCCTGTTTCACTTTAGAGTGGCAGTCTTCATTTCACACAGGCAGTCATAATGGATCAACCTTACAGCAAGCTCAGATGGATCAACAAATACAAAATTATAAGCCCTTCCTTCTGCATGCATTGTAAGCCCCAAACAAGCCTCCCAGCCCCATGTTATACAATGAAGAGAGTTGCATCTATGGTGACGGTCTCCCTGCATGAACTGTGGATCACACTTGGGGAACAATTTTGGGGAACACACCACATGCGTGTACTGCATAATTACTTTTGTGCACAGACCCAAAGTGTCTTTTTGGATGAGTGGCTGGTGTCACTAGCGATGCATTCCATTTGCCCCATCCAGTTGTCTCCCCAAAATCTCCCTTTGCACCTGGAGGGGGTACTTCTGCTTGAAGCCCATCAGTTATCTAGCCTCCTATTAATGCCTATGGGCACATTTATAGCATCAAGTGCAAGCATACGATTAATTTTGTCTCAATCCTCCAGAATCAAGCCGAAAGTATTCATAAGATGGAGTTTGCATTGGGGTAATGTAAGTGTTTTTCAATTTGTAATGGCATGTTCATGATAAGTAAAAAACAAGGAAATCAACGGATCCGAGGAAAACATGCATGCCTGAAATATGGTAGTATCAAAAACAAAGACCCCAAAACTGAGGACCAAAGACCCACTCGGAAACAAAGACTCACTTGAAAACGAAGACTGTTTTCGAGTGAGTCTTCATTTCGAGTAGTTCTTTGTTTTCGAGTGGGTCTTCGGTCTTCATTTTAGGGGCCTCTCTGTTTTCGGTACTACCGCCTGAATATTAGGTTTTGCCCTTCACCAATGTATAAACACTGTTTACTCAGTGTGTTACCTCCCAAGTGGAAGTCGAAAGTAGCTAATTAACCCCTATGCAGTTGTCTTTTCAACCTATTACTAAATGCAACAGGATCCTGAGCCTGCCAATGTATGTTTATCCTCCATGGCAAAGTGAAAGGGGGCCAGCATTTTTGCAAATCAAGCCTGTATGTATTTGAATTGTTATATAATCCAGCGAGTCTCAGCATTGGGGCGGATCCAGTTTTAACTTGGGGGGGGGGGGGGGCAGGGGTGGTTTTGCAGGCATGTGCTCTTTTTTTTCTGCACAATTTTTTGTTGATGGTTACAAGGCGCAATTAGACGCACAAGCTACTTGGTACAAAATAAATTTTGAGCTCCCACATCCATTCTGAATTTGTTTACAGTGATCAGACAAATGCTAAATGGTTGGTAATTTTTCCATTGTCAAACAAAGGGCGAAAAAAATTGTGGAATGTACGTAACATCCTTTTGCAACTGATTTTCACCTTTAACCTTGGTGGTCAGTCAATATGATTTGCAGAGTGATTACAAAATTATGGACCAAGTCAAGTAGAATCGAATTTTTGTTAAGTTTTTGCTATTTCTACGGGAGCTGTCAGTTGCACGCGCATGTGTCAGTTTTCTGATCTTCCACACAAGGATAAACGACTGAGCTTGTGTACAAAATGATATGCCACGTCCGCACATAAAACATGTAGAACAATGCGCGCACGGCGGACAGCTGGCATCCTGACAGAAATTTGACCACTGATAGGGTGCAGTTGTGCGCCGAGTCTCCCTACCCACGGCGCGTAAGTGTCATATCACACATCCTACCAGAAATTGGGGGACGTTGTTTGTGTAGAGGATCCATTATCTAACGTCGTGACTGTCATTGTAAATGACAGTTGACACAACCAAGAAAGTCCGAAGAAAACATCTTAAATTTAAAAAGTCCAGCCGTGCTAGGGGCTACACTGCATACTTTTTAAAATAAAGTTCATTTTTCTGAAAGTCGTCACCATTGACATGTTGGCATAGTGCTTCCGATCCATGGATTGGTTGCCAGCCTGCCACGTACATTATGCATGCATCTGCGCGTTCATCTGCGCGCTGCTGCTACAGTGCTAGTGTATAATCCGAAAATTACATAGGCCCAATG